TCACACCTCCCACACAAGTCACACCTCCCACACAAGTCACACCTCCCACACAAGTCACACCTCCCACACAAGTCACACCTCCCACACAAATCACACCTTCTCCACCCACTGAAGAGACACCTCCCCTCCAGGGCTCCTTCTATCCTCTGACAGAACTTCTTGACCAAGGTTCAAGCGGCGCTACAGTACAATGATTCTCACCCTTTGTTCTGACCCCCTTTCACATCAATCAATGACTCTACCTGTCGTGATTTGCACAAAATTATGATACTCTAAGTGAAACTTTTCAGTTGAGTGTGATTCAGTCATTGAATTAAGAAAGAGAAACGTGATTACACTTATCATATCAAGAAGCCGCTTGTTGCTTAATGCCGAGGGCTTGCTCAATCATACAGAATTGATGGGCAGCTTGTAATGTGGCACCTTCGGTAGAAGTACCAGCAGCTGTATGACCCGTTCCCGAAGCAACATAGAGAAGAAGAGGATGTTTGTTGTTTGGATGTTCGTATTGCATTTGAGCAATCATTTTGTAACTATGAGCGGGCGAAACACGATCATCATCTTGACCGGCTGCAAGTAGCATTGCAGGGTATTGTTTTCCTTTGACAGTGTTTTGAAGCGGACTCCAAGCTCTAATTGCATCAAACTCGGCTGGTATGTTGGGATTGCCGAACTCACTCCATTGTGCTTGACCCAGGCGACTTCTTAAAGCGATTAAGAAATAGTCCGTCACCGCTCGGATACCAAAAACAACACCAATAAGACCTTGTCTTGCTTGATTTGTAACGGCCAAAGCTGCCATACCACCAGCTGATCCCCCTTCAACAATCAATTGACCAGGGCAAGACAATTTACGTCTCTCTAGATCCTCTAAAATTGCAATCCAATCATCATATGTTCTTTGCTTGTGAGTCGTGGTTGCATCTAAATGCCATTTACCGCCTTCATCACCTCCTCCCCTAAGAGCCGTCCATACAAAGCGTGAATTGTAGTCATTGAGGAAAGTGAAAAATGCGGGAAAGAAGAAAAGCGACTCCTTGTATCCGTATGCTCCATATCCGTGCACCCACGTAGGGCGACATTCTTTGCCTTTTCCTTTTTGTGTGACATAATAAGGTACTTTCGTTCCATCCTTGCTCGTAGCAAACAGTTGCTCAATCGAGAAATCACTTGCTTTGCTACCGCGAACGTTTTGAATTGTGACTGTTGAAGATTGAACTTGACCTGTAGTCTTGCTGTATTCCAATTCGAAGATCTTCGTTGGAGTGTTCCAGGCCGAATAGCTCACTACGGCTCTTTTACTCTCTGAGTAGACCCTAAGCAGCCCGAAACTTCCCGTTTCAGTTGGTAAGAGGTGCTGCAGTTGCTTACCTGTCTTGAGATCATAAAGGTACAATGTGTCTTTCCCAGATTCGATATAATTGATGATAAGCTTATCGTGAGCGTATGCAAATGCGTTCACCTGAGGGATCAATGCATCGTCTCTCTCTTTAACTACTTCTTGAAGCTGCAGGCGATCCTTGATGTCGGTCAAAGTGTTCGTTGAACGTGCTTTACTCCAATCCAAGTGCGCCTTCACAACCTTTCCATTCGTTGCATTGCCTTGATCGGTTTGGAAGTAGAACGTATTATCGACTGTTCCTATGTAGTAAACTTGGTAGTCATAATCGGGCGAGATGGAGATCCACTTCATGTTCTCTGAAACAGGCTGACCATCTAGCAGGCATGCATATGCAAACTGCTTGAATGACTGATCAATGAATCCAAGAAGGTGAAGCCAGCGGCCATCATAGCTCATGCCCATCTGTAAAAAGATCGGACGTGGCTTCACAACCGTAATATCTTTGTCTGTTGAAGTTCCCCATTTATGATACCGGAGCATAAAATTGGCATTTGCATCTCCGTTTGTTTGCGCCTGGACATAGAAAAAGCCTTTGCTGTCCGCAGTCCACTTTACATCTTGCTGATTAAACGGGATGTTAACCGGCAAGCTTCCTTCTCCGCCCTTCGGGAACGTCTTTGCGCTCACCAATGGTGTGTTGATTGAGCGGAAATACCACGTTGCAAAATCGCTATTGTCCCCTGATACGAGATAACAGAAAATCTTGCCATCCGGAGAAATGTTCACACCTTGAGCAACGATGTTTGCTGATCCATCAGCGGTTAATAAGGATTCATTGAGGAACGGCTTTCCTGGTGGATTGGCAAAATTTGTCTTTTTCCCTGCTTGGAATTCAGCGACCGAAGCTTTGTACCATGTTGGACGTTGTTCTCCGACACGTTTCAACGTGTAAAGATAGAATGGAGATGCAGAAGTTTCTGCAAACAAGCCCATTTCATCGTATTCATCGTAATCAGTAGCCTGTTGAATGGATTGCTGAATCTGTTTCAAGTTAGAACAACGCTTCATGTAAGACTCCGTCACTGAAGCTTGATTAGAGAGGAATTGCTGAATTGCCGTGTCATTAGCAGGGGGCTGCTCAAGCCAGACGTAGGGGTCATCATACGTCACATTGCCGTTTGCCTTGGCAGAACGAAAAGACCATTGCTTGTTTACTCGCTTGACTTTTGGATATACCAATCCACTTGAAGAAGGCTTCGATGGCGCATCAGCTGCTTGGGTGATTGAGCAAAAGCTTGCAACCGTCGTACAAGCCAAGAGGAGCAAGAAAAAGGTACGCATGAGGAACAAAGAGAATAGTTGTGCACAAGTGAGGGAAAGGATGAGGAAGTGTTTTTAGCATTTTGCCTTTGACCTATGCTATTTATATGATGCGTATCTTACAGGTCTTCGTACGCAGCTCATATAATGTATTAAGTGTCGTAAGACCTTCTTCGGAAAGCCTTTCATGAAAGTCCGCTCTACCAAATCCTGAACGCCACTCTAAGACTTACGGAGAGCCTTTGATTTGCTAATGCCAAGGATTAAAGTCTGTTCTTTGTTCGATTTACTGTGGCGTCCTTGTTGGTGGAATGAGCCGGACGGTAAATATGCTAAATTTGATTCTCCTAATCAGGAGAAGAACTTTCTTTCACTTGCAATCAGCGGCTCCATTTTTTTGAATCGCTTACCGCTCATTACGGTTCCGCGTTCATCTAAAGAAAGCATATTAGGATGATTTGATCTTACAAACGACGAGGGAGAGCAAACTTTTGAGATCACCATCCTCCAAAGTCTCTTCCACTTCAAGTGGCATGTTGACGCTGTGATGGTGGAATGAGGGATAGCAGCTTGCACGGCGCGATTCTGATTTCTAGCGGGGCACTGATGATGCAAGCAAAAGCGATTTTATGCAAATTAAATGAACACAACTGCTAGCGTATTTTTTCGCATTTCCTAAACACTAACCACCATCCTTCTTACGATACAGAATGTGATGAAGAATGATGGTGCTTGCTCAAGTAATGGTCGATCATTTGAAAACCAATCAGGTAAAGGATCAGCCATAAAAGATGAAACGGAAAAGTCTACCGCACAGGCAGCAAATGGCAATTTTAAGAACTACTACGCTATTCGAAGAGATGTTCAACAAACAGATCGGCACAAGGGTGATGGGGTTGGAGCTTCGGATAAACGAGTAGAGGCAATTACCCAGTGGATCAACGGTCATAGGATGTTGGAGGGAATCACATGTCGACACATTGAGAGATATTTGGATATCGGATGCAATACAGGCCAATGCACTTTTGGACTTGCCCAATATCTCAAAGATCAGCCGAAGCAAATCATCGCTGTTGACATTGATGAAGAATTGGTGAAGCAGGCCACCATCAATGCGGAGAGTTATGGCTATCAACAGAATTTGCAAAGTTCAGCCCGTCGAATACTGGGGAGTGGACGAGTAGGCTATTCCACTGATCAACCTCGTAAACGACTCCGACTCGAAGAACCCGCTGAAGTTTACATATCGACCATTCTCGCTTGTGATTGGACTTACATGACTGGCACCGATGAAGTGAAGACAAATTTGGATAAGCAAAACTATCAAGGCTATGACTTGATCACAGCATTGTCCGTCACCAAATGGGTTCAGCTAGCACATGCCGATGCTGGCATTCGCGTCTTTCTCGCTCGCATCTGCAGCTCGTTAAAGCCAGGTGGACTATTCATACTCGAACCACAACCTTTTAAGTCATATAAAGGCTTACACAAGATCACCAAACCTGAAAGCAGAGAACGCCAAAATATCGCACAAATGAAGATTTTTCCTGTTGACTTTCAATGGATTTTGACTGTCGAATTCGGTTTGATCGGTCCTTTCTTCATTCGATCTCGAGGTCAAGATGGATTCATACGTGACATACAAGCATACGTGCAGCCAGAAACGGTAGATCCAATATGCCTGCTACATCGAGACGAGACCCTCAGCAGCAGAAAAGAGGGGGGCCCTTCCCTCGATATCGTACCATGGGTGCAGCGTGATCGTCAACAGTGTGTATGATTATATGATAAGTCATTCATTCCATGAGTTTTGTAATGCAATAATGTACAGTAGAGTTACAATACGATTTCTTCAATCGCTTCTTTGTTTGTTCCCAGCTTCGGCAATCGCACGTAAACGTCCATTCCATGTCCATCTAAAGATCGCAAGTTCAGACTGCCTCCGAAGAAATCTGTATAGATTTTAGTCATTGGCAATCCCAAACCTGTTTCTTGTCGTGTAAGGGAACTTCGTGGGACTGATTCTTTCAAAGCTTCTCTGGCCAATGCGTGAATGCTATGCGGTAATTTTTCCATGGTTGCTTCTTTTTCTTCTTGTCCTCCTTCAGTGCTAGCTTCGTCCAATCGTTTTTGCGCATCATGCGTCGCAAGTTGTTCAGCAACCGTTCCTTTGAATCGTCCAACAGCCCGTAAAGCTTCCATCTTTGCTCGACTATCGATCCCTGTCTCCCTTTGAGCTTGTACAGCGGCACGTAAACCAGCAGCCAATCCTGACTTTTCACCTCCTGGACTTTCTACGTCTGGGCGTTGCGAAGTGGAGTGGCTCTCTTCAGAGCTATTTGTGGATGAAGAAGCATTCACTTCGGTATCTACTTGCGCTTTGTGTTGTGAGGTGATCGAAGCTTTCCTCACCTCTTCATCTTCGATCTCTAATCGTCTTCGTACATTGGAGAATGAAGTGATGGCGGCAAGCAAAGCATCAGACACAGCTAGACGGCCGGTAGATGCGCTTGGCACGCCTGAACCACTTGGTGCTCCATCTCTTGCATGCACATGCCTAGCATGACTCATCGCAATATCGATCGGATCTGCGAAACTGCCACTTCTTCTCGCCTGTTGATTGTCCAAAGCATCAGCAAAAGGCGGTGTACGGTCATTGGGTAAAGTGGAATCCATTGAAAAGTTCTCTTTAGGACGAGACTGTTCTGAAAGTGATTGGTAGCGAAGCTCGTTGGCTGAATTCCTCGAAAATTGTTCGCTTTGATTGGATCCTTCTTCTTCGACAAACTCCCTGCGTTTCTTATTTGCTGATGAACGCTGAGAATGCTTTCTTCGATGTTCGCGGCGGGCATGCGATCCGCTCAGCTTTGTCAAGAGGTCCGGTAAACCACCACCGCAATCCGATACACGAACGATCAAATCTTCGTCAGGTGGCCCTTCGACAATAGTCGCACGAATCGTGACAGGATCACGCGCTGAAAGAGGTTGACGCATGACTGCCGTCATGGAATTCTTGAGGAGCTCAAAAAAGATGTATTCGAGATGTTCTGGAATGTATGCGAATCGAGTATCAAGAGCGCCATCAATCACCACACTCGGTATTACAGCCGCGTCTCCCGTCCTAATTCCGGCTTGCACTTCATCCTGGAAGATTTTGGTCAGAAGACCTACAACCTTGCTGATCACGCTCGATACTTTCAAGTTTGTATAGATGATACCAATGTGATCACCATCTCCGCTATTGGCACTTGATTCATGCGACGATGCAGAATCGTTGAAGAAGTGGAAAGGGTCGTCCAGTGCTTCAGAGAGAGCAATGTGCTGTTCCGCCAAGACTCTCCGGGAAATTCGACTTCGAAGCATTCGTTCCATAAAGCCATCCAGCTGATCGGAAGGTAAATGATGTGAGGATTCCACAATACCAATTGTGAGAGAAGGAATGATTGTCAAATGATCATCCAATAATCGTTTCAATGTTGCACAAAATTCTTCGTTATCTTCCATCGTTCGAATATTAGGTACTTTTCGAAAAGTTTCAAATGCGGTCCAATACTTTTCATATACTTCTTCTAGATGCTTGTTAGTCATCACAACGAATGGCAATGCTTGTAGATCACGAATGCGATGTGCAATGCGCACAGCTAGCTCTTGACGAACATAATTGCCGCTCTTCAAGATCTTCTCGCGATCCCTGCCTAATGTACGTCCAAAGAAGACGAGTTGGCGTAATGTCATTCGAGTAGCGGGTCTTGCAGCATACTGTTCCAACACCTTATTGAGATAGAAATGGCGACCGAGATCCATTTGAACAGTCGAGGAAGAGTCTTTCCCAGTGGTAGTGGAAAGCCATCTTTGTCGTGATCTGAAGGTTGGAGGTATATTCTGAGAAAGCGCGAACGAGCTTTGCCTTCTAGGAATCAGCTGCAAAGTTGATCTGCAAGCACCAGATGAAGTGGTCAAAGCCAAACAACGTCCTGAGCGTATGGCATGGCTGCTAGACATACTGATACGTATATTTGCCTATCAATGATGGTGTTCAGATTTGTGTTTTTTGTTTTGCAAACAATTAAAGTTTTTAGCTTCCAAAGTTTTAACTGACTCCCACGCTCATAGGCATTGTGCCAGTCTTAAATCGCGTGGGGTGGAGGATTGTGCATTCATTTTTCTTGTTCAACACCACCGTCACTTTCCCGCATATCGGGAACCAATATCCATACTCAAACCAATGATGAGCAATTCGTAGATTAAAAAAAGGTGTAAAGATGCAATCTGCATCTGCAAGTCAAATAGGAAGCGGAAAAGGAGTAGAAGGAAGTCGATCGGGTTTGAGTGGGAAGAGGCAAAGAAGTGAAGAAACTTCTCCAACGAGCACAAAAAGCGGTGCTTCCGACTTGAGAAATTCTTCTTCACCTAGAAAACGAAGAAAGTCCAGTCGAAATGCAGACCAAGAAACATTACCTAAAGTAGAGGAGAACATAAATCAGATACCAGTGGGATTGCTGGATTTGCCAGTGGAACTGTTACAAAGCATTTATCTTTATGCAAAGAATCCCAATTTCCCTGCAACGAATAAACATTTGTTCTCAACTTTCAGTGGAAGTTCTGTATCGTTCAAGGCAAAATATTTGTTAGCAAGATGGCATGAAGCATACTGCTATGGATTCCAACCAACAGTAAAGCAAGGATCCTTGCGCAAATCCAATTCGACAGAAGTCAATCAACGGCCACCGCTACCGACTACACCTTCTTCCGACTTACTGGCGAATGGTCTACTTCCCGAATTAAGCTGGCCGAGTCGCTTCATACCAGTCCTGCCTACCAACGATTTTCCTTATCCAATGAGTAACGCTTTTCATAGAAGCGCAGATCATTTCATTTTGGATTATTGTCTAAGGTATCGTCTTTGCGATGTGACAGTCTTGCATGCAGTCGAAGAGATCATCTTGCATCAAAAGGAATTTGGAAATATCGCAATAGCCACCGGACTATGGCGGGATCATGACGGATATCTTCATCCGCATGAGCCTAGGCGGAATGTATCCCATGTTGCGGCCAGAAGCGATGCAAATGACGCCTCTTCAATCTATTCTGCCAGAGATGATGAAATGGAAGCTATGGATGTGCACAATGCTTTACCTGCTCATTTGAGGATCACAGAGATTCCAAAAAGACTCTTTCAGTCTCTCAAAGCAGGCAGTCTCTCTAAAGAGGTCAGTGATACGAATCCTCTGCCATTCAACTTTCGGGAATACGTCAGCGATCTTGATCCTGATTTGGCAAAGCATCTGAGTGCTTTCGGCGGCATAGATGGAAACGGACCATTTCCTTCCCACGCTTCCTTGCTTCTATTGTTATCAATCGCTGCTATGCACGTTCCCACAACGACTGCGTTGCCCTCTGCTTCGGCTCCATTCAACTCATTCGAAGGTCTCCCACTAGCCAAAGCTACGTTTGCAAGAAGTACTTTTATGGTGCAACTCTTATTGTCTTTAGGCGCAGAACCTTCACGTAAGGCAAGTTTGTCATTATATATCGCCATCCGAAGCGGTTGGTTGGACGGTTTGATTCAACTAGTCGAAAGGGATGAAGCAAAATTTATAGAATGGCAATCGGCTTTGGACGGAATACGAGATTGGTTCCGGAAAAGGGAGAACGATCAGCGAGGGCTGAAATGGAAAAGCAGTATATTCCATGCATTACCTCAACAGGTACCAACGGATGCAAGAGAAGGTCACAGAGAATCTTCTCAAGTATCTGCAAGCATCAGCACCGCTATGAACGGACAGCCTCACCGACTTCCAGCACCCGTCTCAAACGTGAATTCTGCACAGGAAGCTCCTTCAACACATCAGCAAGACGGCATCTTGTACGTCACTCCAACGTCTTCTTTCAAACGAAGGAGATTGCTAGATCGTGCCAATTTAGACAGCAAGATGCTAAAAGAGGCCGTAAAACACAACAATTGGTCAGTCGCAAATTGGCTAAGATCAAAAGGCATTGTGCCTGATCTGAGAACAATCAAACTGATCGAAATGAAACAATCATCCGGTCAAATTGGTGGTAATTTGACATGAACCCTACTCTAATCAGCACTTTTTAATGACACACACTGTACACTAGACATTGAGACAAATACACTGATTGATTGATTGATTTTATTATACAAATGTTTTGATTATTCCGCGAGTAAGATGATTACTGAGGTGGCCAATTTGGTGCACCCAGCAATCGCCAAACACCGACTTCGATATCTCCCTTCACACCTGAAGGTATCCTTCCTTTACTCGTGTCGGGTAAGATACCTTGTCCAGCTTTGACAATTGGACCAACATTGCTCCACGAGGTCACATTGAGCGATTCAGCATAATGTCGTAAAGCAGCACGAGTGTAACACATCGTTGCTGCTGGTGTGAGATAACGATGTCGTAAAGTACGTAAAGCATTATTGGCAATCTTTTGTGCTCCGTTGTACTTCAAAATTTTGATCGGAGGTACGGCTTTTCCATCATTCGTTACCTTCCTTTCGGGCTCAGACTCCGCCATTCCATCTGATACTCGCAATTCGTGGACAGCCTCTTCCAAACCTTCGAAGAATGGTCCAGGAAGTTGTACGTAATTTTGATTGGGAGAATCGGTAAAATTGTTCAAGGCGGGATGAAAGTGTTGTGTCCATTCGAGAGGATGAGCGATCGTGACGGAATGACAAGAGAGGAGGTATCGAGATCTACCACTATAGCTATTGCCTTCGACATGAATCAAGTACTTGTGCTGACAATGTTCCGGTAGAGTGACCAAAGGATACCAGTCGCTCTTTCCATCAGGATGAAAAGTAGTCTCGTGCACGTCAGCCCATCGTTCACGCTCTGGGTGCTTTTTAGTATCTGTACGCTCGATCAGATCCCTACGAACTGCGTAGACATTGGCAAATCCTCTCCAAAAAGCACGAGTATGCTTTCTGTACCATGGATATTGCACTTCCTGTGCGGTTGCTAGATCCAGGAATTCCTCGAAAGATGCAATTCCAGCTTCAGGCCATCCTACAAATCCAAAGTCGGGAATCAGCCATTTTCCTGTATGACGATGATCCTTGATGCTCTTTGTGACTGTCCAACTTGCTTGGTTCGGAAAAATATCCTTGTCGCCCGGGCTTAAGATAAGGTCAACTGTTGGCAAAGTATCGTCCTTTGCTACTCCACCACCTGGCCACGATTCGACGGCTTGTTGAACAAGATGGACCAGAGCTGAATTTCTCGTTTCTGTTCCTTCCTTGAACGCTCTTATGTACACTTTGCCGCGATTTATGATCAACCTTGCATGACCCCAATGAGGTGCTGCTCCTTTTTCGTTTTCATCAATCATCTCTTTTGATATTCCTCCACGTGTTTGCCAATAACGCATCAATTCGTCCAATTGCGGATAAAGTAGTGGGAATTCTTTTCTACATCTTGCGTCATTCATTGTCCTATCACGTCTATTCTGTTCCGATAAAGCGGGAAGCGATAACTTATCTTGAATGGCTTTAGGAACTGTTGCAAAGGTATTGTCTCCCGTTAGTTCGGTTGAGTCGATATCATAATCTGATTTGGTTGACTTATAGCTTGAACTCGGGAACACGGAAACGATGATCACGAATCCTAGGAATACGCAAATCCCAATCACTGCTGCCCTAGAAGAGTTGAATCGTCCTGTCCCTTTAGGCATGAACGAGCTTGATCTCATCATTTCCTTACCTGTCATCCAAGCAGCAGAGTATGTGGAAGGGGATAAAACCCTTCCTGAAAAAGTGCGTTTATGTCTTAAAGAGTGTGCTTCTACATCTCCATCTTCTTCTTCTTCTAATTCGAAATTGGAACTATGAAGCATAGATTGTGTTTCTGCATGCGTTGTGGCTGCATCGTGTGATCTTCGTTTATTTCTATCATCAAAGCTTGTCCTTGATGAGTTTGGATCGCCTAAATGCGAAGATGATCCTGACGAATTCGATACCATCACGTTTGATTGTTATGGTCAAACTGATGGAGTTATCTTCCCTGCACGGATAAACAAGTAGTTACCGAGCAAACAAGCAAACAATAGGCACACACACTCACACCAAACGGGCTCCTGAAATAGAAACTTTATCTTTCTTTTTGACAGTCAGAGTACGGGTTGACGTTTCATTAATGCAGGTTAAAATTGTACAGCCTATGTGCACAAATACACACACACGCCTAGTCAACAAAGGGCGCAATCACATCCTTAGCCTTGAATTCGCGCCCGCTCTTTACCGCCGGGTCAAAGTTAACGCCTCCTCAACCGAGTTGGCACATGACATAACGATCATTAGGATTGCAAGTATTGATAAAGTACAAAAAATACAGAATTGAGTTGTGATAAAGAGCCATATTATCGGAACACAAAAAAATATATTATAGAAAGCCATCAAAGTAGACAGAAAAGAACTCTTAAATATCGGGAGCGATGGGATATTTGGTATCTATAAGAAAACCAGGTGCTAATCCTGCTTTTTTAGCTTCATCTTGAGCTTCTGCTAGGGAAATTCGGCCATCAGCTGTCTCAAGCTCTGTTCCCGCTTTGCTTGCATTGAGAATCTGAAATTCGCTAAATTGATCTATCCCACCTTTGCTCTGTGATAGCATTGCTTCACGGGTACAATTAGGATCTTTTATGTTTGATGTTATGCAAGCGCTTTCCTCAATTGCACTTTCTCCTCCATTTGTTTGTCTTCTTCCGTGCTTGACTATATTTGCCACATTCAATCCATTCATCGTCATCCAATACGAAATCGCCTTGTGACATAGAATGCTCTTGTACGCTTTGCATGTATCCAGTTGATCTTGCCAATACATCACTCTTGCCATCGGAATAACTTGTTCAGGTAATTCCGACTTCCTATCGCTAATGAACTTACTCCATATTGATTCACTCTCTCCCTCTACATTCTCAATAGGTCGAATCGATCGAGGCGTTAAACCCATTTCTGCCCATTCTTCATAAAATGGTTCAATGCGTTTTTCAAATTCGTATCCAGGTTGTTGAATTGGGATTGTTACTGTTGTTTGTGAATCTCTCTTTTTGATCGGAAGTCCTGCCAATGCTTCATATGCGTCCAGTCCGTACTTTGGTGAACCTTTTCCATGATCAGATTGTGATTTTAGATGTGATTTTGGTTGTAAAAGACATAATAAAAATACCGTTGTAGCTGCAAATGCTAAGGAACAAATAAAGATAATCACAGCAAATTTGTTCGGCATATTCGTTTGTTTTTTTTGCCAAGAAAAGAAAGATTGCTTGAGTCCAGCTCGGGTTTCTTGTACTTTGTTTGTTTTATTCAAAGCCCACGATCAAGAATGGGAAAAAAATAAAAGGTCCCTCGGGAAAGGAAAAGATTCAACATGAAAGTATGAATGGGAAAAAGTGGAATCTCTATCATTCAACTTTATGTATTCAAAACACATTTTACAGAATAAAGGAAAGAGATGAAAGGCGTTCAATCTATACTTTGGCGTGATTTCGCAGGCTGAAGTGTATCGCATTGCGCCTTTGTTGCCTAGACCGTTCGTACAAGAATCTTGTTCATCCAACTAGTAAGATTATCCGGCTTTCGATCACAACCTTCCCCACTAGAGGCGTATTTAGGCGGAAGGGGCGAAAATGAATTTGATCTCACGTTTTTGTACGTCATCCACAGGAATGCGTACAATCGTGGCATTCAATCTTGCATCATACACGTTTTCCACTGCTTCATCTTTGCCTTCAACACCTTTCACAGCCACTTGTGCTTTTGACGCCTTTCGTGCATCATTGGCGTCATGCCAAAATTGCAAAGTGAGCGTGTTTCCAATATCGGTTTGCGTACGTTGAAGATCGTATTGGCTGTGCTTTAGTTCCAAAGTCAGAGTACGTTCGAGATCAGATAGACGATTGTGCTCAATATGAACATGTCGATAATCAGATTTGGCCCCGGAATGTTTATCCAGCTTGAATTGAGGTAAATCAGCCGGTGCTGATGCCAATGAAACACCATCGTCCAAATAAAGATCATGTTCAGCCTTGACGCCAATTGTGGAAGTAGGATACACGTGCAGCACAATCGGATTCGCTTTAAGTTGTCCAACAAACATTTCTTGATTTTGTGTAGGAACGATCGCCCCTTCACGAACGAAGATCGGTAACAGATAAGCAAGATGTTCTAAATCACCTTGCGCAAATCGGTCAATGCTGGAAACATATTCAAACACTGTGCCTCCCGAGCGGACTGATGATAATGCAGACCAATTAGGCTGCAACTGAGCAGTGGCAGGATCACTGCTCGTCTGTTTGAGGTGCAAATTGAAATCGTAGAATTTAGATCCAGACGGCAAGTATACCGTTCGAAGCATTTGGCTTGCGTTGCGTTCTTCTTCAGAATGCAAGACCGGCGCAACCAACACATCCTGTCCAACCATATATTGCAAAGCCAAATAAGACGAGTTCTCATCCAACAACGAGAGATCCCACGGATCAGTGGCCAACATTGAACGTGCAACTGGTTTTCCGCTCCATAAGCTGCCAAAAAAGTTGTCATATAGCAACTGCAGCAAGGTGTAACGCAGCGTGATGTAGTAACGACAGATGGGCAAAACAGCTTTGTACAACGCAGCTTGCTCAGGAACCTTGCTTGCATTCTCAAAATAGCCATACGGTTCTTGCCACAATTTATGACCCGGCTTACCGTTGTAGTGGTTGCGGAACCATGGCAAAAGTGCATGGGCAATCGTCCATCTGGCAAGCAGTTGAGGGTCACACCATTGACTGTTCCACGGGAACGCCTCAAATCCTCCAACATCTGCACCGGAGATCACGGTGCCACCAATTCCACAAGATAAGACTTGTTGGATGTTGATACGCAAAAAGTCAAAGCTTGAGGTATTGTCACCTGTCCACAAGCCTGCATATCTGTGTTGGCCTGTAAAGCTACCACGGCCAATGATAAAGTTCCTCAATCCTTTTCTAGGTGCAAGTTGACGAACACCCGCATGAGTTGCTTTGTGTAAATTGTACGAGTAAAGATTGTTAATTTTGATGGCGGGCACAAGAATACCTTGTTTGGCCCGTGAAGTTTCAGTATCGTCGCTCAATAGTAATCGAAACGGGAAAGATTTCATATCGCCTACTCCTGTTCGAATGCATGGCGTAGTCATATCTTGCCAAATCATTGATAATCCTGATTCAAAGAGGTATTCGTACTGTTTTCCCCACCATTCGCGTACCTCTTTACGCCCGAGGTCAGGATAGACACCGTTTGTTCCCAAATTCTTACCATATGACACTCCACCTCGGTACTCTGGAGCTTGTCCTGGCGGCATATGCATATTGGGGACATATTCACCTTGCTGGGTAATCTGGTTGCCACCTTCCCAATAGGTGTACACCGGTGGATTTTGCTTCTCGTTCCATCTATGCTCTTTGACAAAGATATTTTGACTAATTCCAGAGTCGAGAGTCTTATATTGTGCCCTTGCTTGACTTCCATCGTTCCAGTAGTCGCTTCCACTCTCGTCTTTTGTACTGATGACAGGGGTGATATTTGTAGAAGCTTTCACACCAAGGTGGGCTAATTGAGCAAACATGTCTTTTGCATTGACAAAATTGCCGCCAGGTCCATCATCGATCGTAAAAGTACGGTAGTGACGTTGCAAGTCCACGTCAATGTGAACGCCATCAATTGGAATATTATACTTGCGATAGGTCTTGATCGCATTCAGCACTTTCTCACGCGTATCGTATCCATAGCAACCTTGATGATAGCCAAAAACCCAACGAGGGAATAGCTTGCTTCGTCCAACGCAACTCGAGTGAGCTAAACATGCTTCTTGCAGATTGTTTGCACATGTGATGTGAACTTCCATATCGGCAAAACGGGAGCCAATGCGGGTAACTGATGGATTGGAACAGCCGAGATCCAAAAGGACTTGACTATAATCGTCAACAAAGATTCCCACTGCACTCTGATAGCCGGCAACACCGTTCAACTCTACACCAAATGGATCTGAATGGTACAAAGGCTCGGCAGGATTGGCAGCTTGTTCGCCATACACACTGCTGTATGCTAAGTTGTCATAATTGAAAATATTGAGCTGATGACTATCCTTGAGGAAGGTGAATCCTCCTTGTTCACCAAATCCGATCAACTTCCCTCTTTTGACCATGGACAGACAGCTTGCATAATTTCCTTCTGCATCAAGGCGAGAAAGAAGCGGTAAGCTACCATTTGCATTCCCAGCGGTGGTAGACCACACAAGCGCCCATTTTTTCAAAGGTTGTTTTTTGTCTGTAGGTTTTACTACTTCTTCAACATTTCTCCAAATCTCGATTCCAAACGCATCTCTTCGTACGATAACCTTCATATATTCTTGATCGCTTTTTTGAACGCTCCATTCGAATCTTTGACCATTTCCATCGCTCCCACTGCGTTGATCGATAGGGATTGCGCTCAATTTGTACATTTCATCTCTTTCGATCTGCTGGCGTAATTCTGCTAGTGTGTTCATCACAATCGATCGTGAAAGATGATCAGAATATTCTTCTTGATGTTTCTTGCCCGGTCCCCATCGAATGCGAACGGTATCATATCGAATTGCTTCGATGAGCAAAAGACCATCATCTGGCAAGATGACTTGCAAAGTGAGTGAATCTGACGGTGCAACACGAACATCCTTTACTGCACCTTGTGTGCTACTCTTAGCCGATGCCAGACCATCAAAAATTGGTGTGTCAGGAGCAGAATTATCCACTACATTCACAAATCCATTGAAAAAGTCTTCCACTTTCCAGAATTTGTAGATTGCGGTATCATCAATCGCAATTTTGGGTGCTACCATCTTATCTGGCAAAGCAACAAATTGACCATTTGGTAACATTGGTATATGACCGTTTGTCGTCATATTGAGCGATCCTTTGGGAGATCAAAAGAGAAGAAGATAGTGGGATTCACTTGTTGAAAGGCATAAAGCGTGGCCTTTATATGCTATTGCAAGCTCGGAACACCATCTTGGCTAGTACGCTGAACTCCGACACCATTCATGCGAGGCAGTGAGGACGGGGAAGGGATTGTATGCAATATGCCCGTATACATTTGTTACTTGGCAATATACATTAGTTCAATGAATGGGCTGAAAAGTGTTACTCTTTACCCCGCCACACAATGTTATTTTTGACATTTTAGCTGCACTTGCATTGAAATCATCCCGAGGCCAAGAGTTAGGGCGGCTTATTCCTCTCCGTTCTTCTCATTTGTGGCTTCTTTGTGTTTTTTTGTTGACAGTGCCTGATTAGCGGTGCGTTTATTTACACCACTCACATTACAGTTTCGGCCATTTTTACTGCCTAGTGCAACCGAGTCAGTAATTGGCCGTGCTTAAGATCGGTGCCGAGTACAAGCTTGAAATACGCTTTTACTGATTTTTTTTACATAAGCAGCCATGAAGACATGGTCCAACTTTTGGGATGTATCATATTGTCTATATGCTGTGATGGTACATAAGGATAGCAAGCATCATGCAATTTAAATCTTTGAGCATTCTATTTGGCATTATTGAGTCACTCGTTCTATTCATACACCTGTATTTGGAAGTTTTGCTTAACTCCGAGCATTGACAAATGTCCTAGTAGCGCAAACAATGCTTGCAGTGTAAAGACATACACGTGACACCGCAGCTTTTTCGCCCTTTGCACACTTTCGTAGTGGCGCAGCGCATACGGGTGAGAGAAATCTAGCTGCAAGCACTCAGCATTATTGGCACTGCTCTGATTCTGCGCGCGTTTTGGCTGGGAGGAAGCTTATACCCGTAGTGAATGTAAGCCTGTAAGCAGCATGGGCAGCGACACTCTAAACAGATTCCTGCTATAAAGATTTCTCATATTTGAATCTTGCCGCCACTTACCATCACCACAACAACCCACCCTTGAAGTCAATTTAGTCAAGATGGGTCGCCGTCCAGCTCGTTGCTACCGTTACTGCAAGAACAAGCCATACCCAAAATCACGATACAACCGGTAAGCATCAGATGAAGAAGTTTGAGAGAAGAGAGAGAGAGATGAGAGGGGAAGAGATAGAGAGAAGTTGAGAAGAGGTGGGAAGCATTGGGACGATAGGCCCCATGTGATGGGAAAATGTTCGTTCATTTGGATAATTCTGGCGTCTCCCTGGATTGTTTATAGCATCTCTCTGAAGTATGTTCTCATTCATCGAATCGCATTCTAACATTCTCACCTTCTCTCCCTCTACAGTGGTGTCCCAGACCCAAAGATTCGTATCTTCGATTTGGGACGTAAGAAGGCTTCCGTTGACGACTTCCCCTTCTGTGCTCACTTGGTCTGTGATGAACATCAACAAATCACATCCGAGGCATTAGAAGCCGCCCGTATTTGCGCAAACAAATACATCACAAAGACATCAGGAAAGGACTCCTTCCACGCCCGTGTCCGTGTTCACCCTTACCACGTCATTCGTATCAACAAGATGTTGTCCTGTGCCGGTGCAGATAGATTGCAAACCGGTATGCGTGGTGCTTTCGGAAAGCCATACGACCGTGTCGCCCGTGTTGATATTGGTCAAGTTTTGATCTCTATCCGTTCTCGTGAATCTAACCGTGCCGTCGTTTTGGAAGCTTTACGTCGTTCTCGTTACAAGTTCGCTGGACGTCAAAAGATCATTGTTTCCAAACGTTGGGGTTTCACCAACATGATGAAAGATGAATACGCCACCGCCAAGGCTGACAACCGTATCTTGAAAGATGGATGCTACTTGCAATACATCAACAACCACGGACCATTGGAAGACAACTTGAAGCTACAAGCCCGTATTGCTGCTCAAAAGTAAGCTGTCGTCTTAGATGTTTTGTCATGGCTTATCCATTCTTACGTGCATGAATATGTGCGTCATCCTGTACACTTTTTGCACATGAAATACAGTTGATTCTGTTTCTATCCGAGTGAAAGGCTTTTTTGGTGTTAAGGTGGTATAGTATGAAGTGTGTCTTGATAATATTTGTATTCTGAAGATTCCCGTCATGTCAATCTATGAATAAGAGTTTCGATCGGAAACCCCGGTTCTATGAGATTATATCCTTCTTGGAATCGCACCTCATCACACATTATTCGTCACACATTCATCTACATTCGTATTCCAGAAGATATATTTGATTCAAGGTACTACTCCGAGACATTAAGCTAGCAAACTACGAAGCCATCTATTAAGAAGCTTATTAATGCTCCGTTGGTTGTACATGCTTGAGTCCAGCGATTAGATCACCTTTGCATGTTGAACTTGTTTACTTGAAGCCCAACCAAGACTTGAGTGGCTCGAATCCAAGGGACAAGTTGTATGCACCTGCAGCAAAGATGACAGCATAAGTAGCAAGATGACCGACCAAACGACCTTGAGAAGCGGTGTTCTTTGCACGAATGCCAGAAACTTCAGCATGTGCAACACGGGCAAAAAAGAGAGTTGTAAAAGCACCATGAACCAAAGAAGTTGGAGCACCATTTAATTCGGCCAAAAAGATCAAAAAGAAAGCAAAAGGAGTTGATTCAGCAAAATTTCCATGAGCACGAATTGCGCGTTTCAAATGATCTTCATTTTCGGCATCATCTTGTCCTGCTTTATGATCTGCAACGCGAACTGATCCTGAACCACCATCGCCTAGCATAACGCCAGTCTTTACACGATAGTAAGACACATTGCTGGACAAGTAGGTGTAGTAACCGCTAAACAAAGCAGAGTGTGCCAAAGAGGCAGGGCTCAAAACGAAAAGAGGCACTGTGATAGCGGGCGGGAAGAAAGATGAAATGATTAGTCATGCGTTGTTTATCAGCACATACTGCTGCAGCACTTACTGTTTGTTTGTTTTGTATCAATATGAAGAACACAAAAAGATTGTATGATGATCAACAGGAGTAAGATGAATAATAAGAACCTCCCACCTCATCAATCCAACCAAACCATAGGTGTGTGCACGGGTGGGGCTTTGGTAAACGTTTTAGACTGACCGTGTACGCTAAAGACAAGAAATTGCGTCAGGATTGGGTGCACACACGCACAAGCACACGCACAGTGGAGGCCAGCCTAGCTTCTCTTCCCCTTTTTTGCAATTTGCTAAAGCGATAAAGCCGGCAAACGTGCTTGCTTGTTGAGTGTACACACAAAGATCGCGTGTATTCATTTCATTCGTAGGGTTGCTGGAACATTTGGCTGAGAGTGAAGCACGGACCTTAAGCAGTAGCAGCAGCTGATGGCGTGGAAGGTTATTGATGCAACTTATATCCGAACGCTGACAAGGGAGAAAGAAGTGTTGGTGATGAGAATGGCATTCAGGGCTGAGCTGAGTATGATAGTATGGCTTTGGTTTGCTTTGCTGATCACTCAAACCTTCTCTGCTCGATTGGCCAAACCAGGATCTACACATCCTTCTTTTCCATTGGACGCTTTTGCTTCTCCGGCATTTAAGGTGATTTATTTGGATAATGAGCCAATTGGCAATCAAACGGCAAAGAATATCTTACGGTCCAGTAAGCAATTCACATCAAACAAGGGAGATAATGTAGGATTAACGCAATACGCAACGCATGGAGAAAGTGCTGATCATGATGGTCAGAATCCAATCTACTATGACGGATTACCATTTCAAGCATATTTGCACAGATCTTCGCCAGACACACTTCATGTCTGCACTCTAGCAAAATCTACAAAACACAAACAACCTCTGCAGCTGGACGATGAAGAAATGCAGGAATATCGTTCAAACGTTCTCAGAAGTGCATTACGTCTATTAGCACCATTGCGGGAAAAGTGCATTTATCATCATCAAGATTGGTTTTCGTATAGTGTATGCTATGGTGATTCTATCAGACAATTCCACCCAATCCCTGGAACTGTAGGACCTGGCAAAGTTCCTACTATGGATGCCTCGCAAGATAGCTTTGTTTTAGGACGTTGGAGAGATGGAATTGAAAGCGTACGCGGAGAAGCAAGCGATAGCACGAGTGCTACGATCGGAGATTCTATCAATGAGAAACTTTTGGAGGAAAGCGGAATCGAGCAAGGATCAGAATTGATGGAATTGGTGCACTTTTCCTCCATAGAGGACGAGAGCGCACCTGTGCGTGCAAGATTACAAGAAGGCAGTCCGATCGAAGGCAAAGGTCGCTATATCTCTCAAAGCTGGACAGATGGAACGTTGTGCGACCTTAATCACGAACCACGAACGACTGAGGTGCAGTATCATTGTGCCAAAACACCACCAATCGATCGGATCTCATTAATCAAAGAAGTGACTACGTGTAATTATGTGATCGTGGTAGAAACACCTCGCCTTTGCTCAGAACCGGCTTTGGCCCAAACAGAAGATGAAGTTCGAGAAGTACATTGTCGGCCAATCCTCTCAGATGCAGAACTACATGAAAGATTCGTTCAAAATGCAAAAGAAGCACATGCTAGTCTCTTGGAAGGCGTCAAAGAGGAAGAGGGAGAGGACGAGCAAGACATTCCATCGGCTGAAGATGAGGAAACGACGCAAGCTGATGATGAAAAGGTTGCAAAGCGATCAGGCCCAAAAGAGCAGAACGCGGGAGCAGATATTGACGCAGCCGCTACATCTCTTCAAGAACAACTTGCCAAGATCATGGAAAAGATTTCAGCTATTAGCAAAGAAAAGCAGGGCGATGGACCGGTAGTGCAGGATATAGAATTGGTTGTTGGAATGGACGAGAATGGAGAAGTGATTGTTGACCCGCACCGTGAAGGGTTCGGAGCCTTGTCGGAGAAATTCCTCAAAGCCACCAAAGAAAAGGAAGAAAGTAGCGAAGAGGAAGATTCAAAACATCCAAAAGGTCCTGTCTCCGATCAATGGACAAAGATTCTGGAGAGAGTACGAGAGTTGCAGGGCAATGCAATCGGCTCAGATGGAGTCATGTACCAATTCAAGCCTGATGACGCCTTGAATGCGGATCAGGTCAATGATCAAGGCCATGCAGGCCATGCAGAAACAGGTACTGCAAATCAAGGCCAACAAGGTGCTAAACGACCGCATTCCCAGCCGCAACGAGGAAACATGATGGTACGTGAGCCAGAAACGTTTGCACAAAGAGTTGATCGGATCTACAAAGCTGAAGAAGAGAGAGCAAGACGTAAAGCCAAAGCCCAAAGCGAAGATGAATCAGCCGAACAAGAAGAGGCAAAACAGCCAAAGAGTCGGCATGATGAGCTGTAAAATTATCGTGATGTTACCTATACCTTTTTTATGCTAATGTCTCTTTCAATTGTATTCTATCCACATCCTATCTGTCATCATGAGTGAGATTGAAGGTAAAATTCAGAATGCTAGAAATACTCGTGTGCGTGTGATAATTGATCATATACGAATCCTGGAATACCTTCTATGTGCGGCCAATTGACATCCACAAAGTAGGATAAAGCCAGCGTAAACGAGTGCTGCAACGTATAGTGTAGATCCTACTGCTCCTCCATCTTTTGGGTCTTCTGTAGATCCCATCAATGCTTCCCAATTATGTGCTGAAGTGAAAGGAAGTGGCGCGATGATATCAGTATTGGCGGGTGTTGCCTTCTTTGAGGGAGATTGTGACACTCACTGAATCCATATCCCATCACGCTCAATATCAGTACACCCATCACCGAGATGACTGTACAGCAACTGGCTATTGATCAGAAAGAGGAAAAGGTGTGTCAGCTGACAAGCTATCTTTTCTCTCAAGTGACCCACTCACCCAATCCAGCTGGCACGATTGGTCTTGTAGCCATCTTGTGTCGATAAAGATCCTCTAGATGTGATCAAGGCTGTGATGTTGATGGTGGGCAAGAGTGTGAATTGTGATCTTGCGCAAAGTATTGCATATATTCTTGCCTCTCCCCCTGATCGCATTAAATAAGTCAAGCGCCCGTGCACCTTTAAGAAACCAACACCCAAGGATACAAACGCGCTCTCTTTAAGTGAGAACTGCATGAAGAAATGCATAATTGATCATGTTTAATGAATGATTGTTACTCTTACGCCATTGTTCGCAATTATTGCTTTTTTGCTTTCATTGATTAGATGGGTCAAAAAAATGCAAGGAAATCCAATTAGAGATGCAGGATTGAATTCCGATGAGCAAGGCTCACAGGATACAGTCGCTCCAAGCATCATTCCTCCTCGTAAACCAAAGAAGTTAGGAATGCCAAAGTTACAATTACCTGCTCGTGAGTATGATTTGTGGAATTAAAAGGCTCATATTGATTGCTGACTTTCCCTAAAATAGGCCCATCTTCATCTTCTTCCTCTAATCTTCAACCTTCAGGATCACGATTAGCACCACCTCCATTAGGTCTATCAATGCAAGCTTCAACATCACAACCCTCTTTACATCTGGCCATACCAGCAGGAAACTCGTTTGGTCATCTCAATTCAGACGCAGATGAAGGATATGAAGGTTCTGCAGGCAATACATTCAATCCTATTGGCGGAATTGGATCAACTACAAATGTGACATCAATCACAACGAGTTATCCGGATACTGTTCCATTCGCTTCAGGATCACAAGATCCATATGCTATGGCAAATGATCTGAGAAGAGCAATTGGACGTATAAGCCTTGATGAAGTAGGAAATGCATCTTCAGATGATGCTGAATCATCTTCTCGTCGATACAGCGGTGGTGAAAGAACGCAATATGGGATGTCAACAGCTTCTACTGCAACAAGCGGCAGTCAATCAAGTCTACGGATACCCGGATCAACAACGACCACAACAAGTACAGGTTCATTTACAAACATAGCAAATCAATCAAATAGCGGCAGCGGCTCATCAGAAAATGTATCGCCTTTGCATCAAACCGACGCATCTCCCGAGCTCAAGAGAAGATCGCCAGGTCAAGAACTTGAAGATGAATCTGAGTTAAATGTGAAAGGGAATTTGGAAATCCTTGACCGACTGGGAGAAGGCGCTTCTGGAGAAGTACGAAAAGCACGATACAAACCGACTGGAACGATTTTGGCTATCAAAACTATCAGTACTTCTCCCAATCCGGCTATACATCGTCAAATATTACGTGAACTTGCATTTAACAGGACATGTCATTCGGAGTATATTACACGTTACTATGGTGCCTACTTGGCAGATGAGGATACCAGCATTGTGATCTGCATGGAATTTGGAGAAGCAGGAAGCTTGGATAGCATCTACAAGCGTGTCAAGCAAAGGAATGGTCGCATTGGAGAGAAGATTTTGGCCAGGATAGCGGAAAGCGGTTTGAAAGGCTTAGCATACTTGCATGAGCGCAAGATTATTCATCGTGATATAAAACCCTCAAACATCTTGGTCACCAGAGATGGTCAGATTAAATTATGTGATTTCGGAGTCTCTGGAGAATTGATCAATTCGATGGCAGGTACATTTACAGGAACAAGTTATTATATGGCACCAGAAAGGATCAAAGGATTACCGTACACGATCACTTCTGATGTTTGGTCTTTGGGATTAACGGTACTAGAGCTGGCCTCGAATCGTTTCCCATTTCCACCAGAAGGAGAACCACCGCTTGGTCCAATCGATCTGTTGTCGTACGTGATTACGATGAAAGTGCCGGAGCTCAAAGATGATCCAGCAGCCGGCGTGAAATGGACAAGAGTTTTCAAAGATTTCTTGGAGCATTGCTTGGAGAAGGACGGTAATCAGAGATATGGTCCGGTAAAAATGCTCAATCATCCTTGGATGAAGAAAGCCATGGCACGGGTACCACAACCAGATGTAGGGAAATTCGTAGCGGAAGTTTGGGGATGGCAAAGTCCTATTTCAGCAATTTCACCACCTTCTGCCGTTTCAAGCTCAGTTTCTCCATCATCTGCACCTGCTGAGCCAGCCGTCAACGCACAAGGACATGTTGTGGTTGCCGAGAATATCACTGTACCAGGTCTAGGCCGAGTTGCAAGTTTACGAAAAGCACCTTCTCCGATCGTTCCGTTGGCATCGGCCATGAAGAGTATCAGCGATCAGGCATCAAACGGAGGAGGCATCCCTATTAAAGATGAAACGATCCTGGAAGAGCCTTCACATTCAGAAGCAAAGCCTCAATCGAGACCCCAACCTAATCGTCTTGCCGGACTATCATTGTTCAGCGAGAAAGGTTTCATCAATTCGGAAGGAATCGATGCTGAAGGAAGAACGCCGCAAGATCGAGCAAAAGCACGTCAAAGAGAAGCAGATGTTGGCTTAGTGGGAAGTCCAACGCAAGAGTAAAGAGAGAGCTTACACTTATTTTCATACTATTTATGATACCTTTTCAGCACGCAAATATCAAATTTGTTTGATCCTATATGAAATAGGAAATGTTTTGTGAAAATGCCATTGTGAGAGCATAAACGGTGTGATGAATACGTATACATGGTACAAGCAACAAACGTTGGCCTTATGTTACGTCAAGCAAGTTTGTTTGCATTTACTCATCATCTTCATCAACATCAGCGCTAACGTTGAAGAATTTGATTTCGAAACCTTGCTTGCTGGTAGCAACGACACGCAACCAATCACGCAATTGAGAGCGTTTCAAATAACGTTTTGTCAAGTATTTGAGGTAACGCTTTGAGAAAGGGATGGTAGTTGTGATCCAGATCTTACCTTCACCTGTAGGATGAGAAGAAACAATAAATTGTCAGTATTCTGTATCATCTATATCATTTTGGTCTAGAGTTACCCACCTTCCTTTTGGACTTTGATAACATCGCCCAATTGACCGGCTTTGTTGTCAACCTTGATACGTTCTTGCAAGTATTGACTGAATCCGGAAGCGTCCAAGATACCATCGTTAGCTGGACCGCTAAAGTCGATGAAGAACTTGTTACCGGTTGGTTTTTGGTTTCCTTTTGTGACAGCCATTTTGACAAAAATGTGTTTGTTTAACTAGAAATGAACTTTGGGCCTACTGTTAAGGATCAGCAAAGCATAAAGAACGGAAAGAAGAAATGATTGCCATGACTTTTGTTTCTTTTTCTTACGCGCTACTGTAATTGCGGTCGGCTGCAGTGCACACAATTTTTAACGCTTGAATTCTTGGGTGAGAGCGCGACACGTGATTCACTGCATTAAGCCGCGTACGTAATCAATGTGAGCTTATATTCTAGTTAGACAAACGAACGTGGCTGCCGGGTATTAAAAGGTGTTATGCTAATAGGAGCTTGTCCTTTTCAAAGATGTCTGCCAAGTTCATTCTTGTTCCATTTAATGTTAGGAGCCGTCTTTATTTATGTTCATCGTAGTCATACTTAGTTATAATGAGGCCCTTGAAACACCCTTGCATTGGGTGTGTATCCCAATCTGTCTGCCAGCCTGCCAAGTTCGGATGGATTTAATCTGTTTTCCTCTTATGTGGGTTACACCTTTTGCAGTAGCAACCAAAAGTACATTATTAAAGCGCGCCGAGACAGGCAGGCAGGCATTCCATCCGATCTTATTAGTGAGCGTGCCAAAGCCAAATTTCAAAAAAGTTCACGCGTGTGCGTTTGGGCCATGCTATCCTTTTGTGTGTCTGAGCACAAACCCTTGCTCTCTTTACCACCTTCAATCCTTCGCAACAGTTGATGTTGTTAGAATTACAATTCTCAAACAAGTCAGAATCATCCTAATCATCAAGATTGTTGCTAACATCATTCTGTTGGCCTCTTTTGGCTTAAGAAAGAATAGACCTTAAAGCCTAATAGGGTGGCAAAAAGACAGCGAACGTTCTATCTTGCATCCACGTGGATGGATGATCAAGTCTCTGACAAGTTCACAAGAATCCTTACTTGAGGTAAATATTGGCTTTGATCACCATATTTTATGGTACAATTCACACATTGGAGCTAGACACAGCAGCCGGACATCAAATACAACCTTTCAAACTTGACATAGCGGGCGACACACAATTAACTAATACAACTTTGACCTTTCTCTCCGCCCTACTCTGATCGCATATCTTTCAACTTTCCTTAATTTCCGTGCTTCATCAAGCTTTGCAAAATGAGCCGCATCCCTCTAACAACATCACACGGCGGAGGATCGCCTCTAGGATCTCCTCGCACAGCTTTCCTAAACGTTCATTCACAGGGTCACCTTTCACCTTATCGTGATTCAGCAGCTCGATTCTCATCAAGTCAAGGTGGAAACGCAAGTTTGGCTGTAGGTAGTCCAAGAGCGAGCGCTTTAGCCAGAGACGCTGCTGCATCTTTACAGTATCCCACTTCTGCTTCAAGACCTACTTCCCCTTCACCAGATGCCAGCGGCACAGGCGGGACGTCTACAATGGATGACAACGATGGAATACAGGATCACGATGGACTGGGAGACAATGCTGATATAGCGAATGATCAGGACAATCCAAATAATCACGCATCCAATATACCCATAATTGCCAAGCGCGAGATCGGCGATGATGGCAAGGATGTTTCAGGTGATTTGATCGATTCTCCTCGTCGAAGTGCTAGGGAAGCTGCTCAATATCGTGCATCACCTTCTGCCGCTAGCTGGAAGGGCACACTAGGTCAACATCATCGAGAGAGCTCGCCATGGTACAATGAGGCAACACGTTCTTCGCCTTTTGCATCAAGTGCTGCTCGTGAATTTCCATTGGATCCCGATGTTTCTCAAGCTGATGGTTTGGCGGCTATCATGGCTGCAGCTGAATCACAAGAAAGGTCCGGAGGTCGTGATAGCCCTAGCCGTGGTACACCAAGAGGATCCCTAACCACTCTCGAACGCTTTCCTTCTCCGGCAACATTCTATCAATCCCATCAAGGCACAGGATCACCTTATCGTACGGGAGGTGGTCTTCCTTTCTCACCACATGCATATCGCGGTAGCAATCTGGCAGATAGTCCAGCATACTCTTTGCCAAACTTTTCCATGGCAGGTGGTCAACGTGGATCAGGATCTGGGCCAAGCGGATGGGCAGGTAACTCATCTTTTGGCGACATCTCCGGTTTGAGTGGAGCAGATGCTAGCACATTCTCTGATACAACTGGACCACCACCACCACAACCCTTTGTTGGATCATATGCACAATATGGTACGCCGTATGGAGCAATATCTCAAAATGCAACTACATCGGCAACCACTCAAGAGCCTCAGACATCCGAAAAACCAACAGCACAGAATAACGGTAATTCTTCTTCAGGGACCAAACAGAGAAGACAGACAGGCTCCAAAGCAGCAAATCAAACGGCAGCAGAGAAAGCAGCTTTAGGTGAATATACGGAAAGTGATGCAGGCGGACCAAAATTGCACAAATGCGATGATTGTGAAAAGACGTTTAGCCGACGATCAGATCTGGCACGTCACAAGAGAATACACACAGGTGAAAGACCATATCCATGCGATTGGCCTGGATGCGGAAAGAGATTCATTCAAAGGTCTGCGCTCACCGTTCACTCCCGCGTTCACACCGGTGATCGACCACACGTTTGTGAATTTGCGGGATGTAACAAGAGCTTCAGTGATTCATCTTCTTTGGCCCGTCATCGTAGAACACATTCTGGTAAACGGCCATACGTGTGCACAGAACGAACATGCGGAAAGATGTTCACCCGTCGAACCACGCTCAACCGACATATGCGATGCCACCAGCCCGGATATACAAAGCCTGAGATCAAGGCGAAGAAGAAGCGGTCAAAATCCGGCGATGACTCCGAAAGCGAAGAAGCAAGTGAAGAGGAATGGTCAACAGAGAACGATGAAAATGGCGGCGCAAGTACAAGCGCTCAAGGTGCTGGTCAGATTCAAGAGCCGGCTCCATTCAGTATAAAAGCAGAGGAAGATGTAAGACCCGCAAAGCAACCGAAGAAACGTCAGCCTGCAAAGAAGAAACAAAAACGTGAATCTACAAACGAAGCAAACGGAAATGGAGATGGAATTAATGATCTTTCATCAACACGCAATCGCAGTAAATCGGACGCTGAAGCGGCATTCTTGCTGGCAAATGCTGCCATGATGGCGCAAGGTGGTGGTGTTCATGGAAATGGAATGGGAGGAGATCTGAAGTCTGTCGTGGATCCCTCATTGGAAAATCTACCTGCTTTCGCAAACCATTACGGTGCATCATCTTCCGATCTTACTTCACCGGCAAAGGTTCTCGCCGGCTTGAGCAGTCTGACTTCTAGCATGCCAGGTTCGCATAGTATCTCTGCAAGTTCGTCAACTGGAGCAGCGGCAGAAGCAGCTGCTGTGATGGGCCTTTCCGATATGGCAAAAAATGGACATGGTCTTCATAGTGAATTTGGAGGATTGGATGGATTAAGTAGCGCAGCCATGATTGCAGTGAGTAATGCGGCCGCGGCTGCTGCTGCCGCTGCAGCAGCAGCAGCAGCTTCAGGATCACATTCAAGTATGGGACCTGCTGCTTCTATGTCAATGACTTCAGATGATGCAAATAGTATCATTGGATCTGCTGCCATGTTTCCTTCGATTATGGGAAATGAAGATCAAGCCACAAAATTGACCACTTCGGTTGGAGAAGGTTCTCATGGGATCGCATCTTCAAACCCACCCGATTCAGATGATTCAGGACAAGGTGATTCTGGTCATCGTGATATCGGCATTCAAGCACAATTGTTATTGGATGCTGCAAACGGTGCACCAACGAGCGGTGTATAGAATTTCGATCAATCTGCAATATGTTTTGCACACTTTCTTTTTGAGTATCTCTTTTTCTTTTTCTTGTTTCATTGTTTTTTAAACTTGTGTTCTATAATTTAACAATTGTATCATGTGGATATTCATGATTGAAGAGTGAGAGAAAAGAGAAAGGATGAATTGAAAATAAACACAGTGTATGAAATTTTTGTTCATGATGAAAAAGTTTTGTATTATTGAAGGAAAAAAAGCATCAATTGCTCATACAACGCCTGCATCTTGCCTTGACATAGCTTCTTCCTCTTCACGTAACATTCTTTCAAATGCAGCAGAAGGATTTGGTTGTTCATCACCGGGTAAGCCTAATGGACGAGGAGGAGGAGGGGCACGCGATTGACCGCTAACGGAAGAACGTTGAGAAGTAGAAACGCTTGAATCCATCAAAGAACGTCTTCTTGCTTCTGCGATATCAGCCATTTCTCTGGCCGAAAGGTCTCCATCAGGAATAGTAACAGCATCTGGTTCTTCAGTGCCATTTGCAGTACGGTTGGTTGCATCATTTCCAGATGCATCACGAGTTCTTTGACCGTTTCTACGTCTACGTCTACGTGGTAAAGTGATAAATTTGGGCATAGGTCTCCTTTCCAAATCCATTGCGATATTTGTTGCAGCTTGGAATGCTTCGATCCAATCAACCACATGACGATCGTTTCGCGTTTGCAATAAGAATTGCTCACCTTCCGCACGTACACGGACCACATGTCTGCGTTTCAAATAATCCGCTGCCAATCCAGATTCGGCTCCTTGTAGGGTGTACTGTTTTACCAAAGATCCTCTATGCAAAGAGTGAGAGATGGTACCTGATAAAGCCTCCACCTTTCGTGAAAGGGCGCCATTACCAGAGTGACCATCGCTCAATTTGCTGTTGATTGTACTGGCAGTAGGTGAGCGATTGGCAGTATGACCATTGGCTGTGGATGCAGCTGTAGAGTTGTGTTGTTGTTGCTCTTTTGAGTTGACGTTCGTATTGCCATCCGTGGCAATAACCTTACTCGTCGTACTTCCAACAGGTTGACTAGGACCATCTTCGTTCATCGGATCATGGTGAACATGTACGCCTGACATAACTCCATGTTCGCCTTTCAAAGCAGCACGTTCGCCACTCAAATCTGTACGATAGATACGCAAACAAGTACCGTGTAAAACGAAATATTGTCTTTTCCAGCTTCGGTCTTTTGCTTGAACTCCGGGTGAGCTGAATTCCATCTTTCTTGGCAAGTATCCTTCAATGTGTACCGAACAATGATAGCTTGGCAAAGATTCCTTGCCTTCTTCTTCTCTTGGAATGATTTTTGCTTCAATTCCATTGCCTCCTCCAGGAATGATTGTATACGGTGGAGGAGCAGCCCCAACTTCATACATAGATCTTCTCCTACGCAAATTTGTAGAAGAGGCAGTTGCAGAAGTTGGTGCAGTGGTTGATTCGACAGAAGGAGCAGGAGATGCAGTTCTTGCTTGTTGTTCAGCCTGCTTCAATTGATCCACTTGGCTGGAACGAATGTCTCGTACGCTCACTGGCTTGTGCAAAGGTTTCAAAGTTGGCTCAATCTGATTACGCGAAGGCGAATTGAGATCGATCAGCGATCTTGATTCTTGCTTGTACAAACCAGGTCGTCCATTTCCAGATTCATTCATACCTAAGAGCGCAGTACCAGCTCTTCTTCCCAACGAGGAATGTAGCGCGAGCTCTGAGTTGCGCGGTGAAGAAGGTGAAGATGCTGGTAAAGCTGGTTCTTTGGCTGATTTGATGACCGGAGTTGCATTATAAGGGCGAGGTGTGGTAGCACGACTGCCTGTTTGCTTGTCTTGCGATGCCAAAGCTGATTTCGCAGCCTCGCTTGTCGAATCTGCGCTACTTTCATCCGTAGAAGTCAACAAAGACGGTGTTGCCAGTACAGGAGTAGGACTAATTATTTTTCGATTTGGCGAACGGGCTCGATCTGCTGAGCGCAAATTCAAAGGAATGATTGGCGGCATTGGCGGCAATTCTCTTGAACTGATACCGGGAGTAATTCTTCCCAAGGAACGGAGACTTGCAGATGATTGTGCTCTTGATCGCGTAATGATCGAAGGAGAAGGTGGAGGGATATTTGGATTGCTCGAATCATTTCGATTGCGAATAACATTATTCGCAGGAGCTGGCTGAATGTTGAAATATGACGTGTCCGTTGGACTTGCTCCTGGTCCATTTTTCAATTGTGTCTGAATACTCAGCCCTGGTTTAGGAGACTGCATCGAGCTGCCAGCAGGGGCAGATGCTCTTGGGGTTGGCAGCCAGCCAGGAGTCTCATCACCAAATTGCGTCCAATTTTCACGATTTTGAATCGGTCCCATAGAGGCAGAAGGAGTCCTTTCCTTAATTGTGGAATTAAGCGAATCATTTTCATACCCAACTCTTTTACCAATCTTCGGCGTAGTGACTCCATCAATAAGTTCTTCAGTTAGTTCTGTATCAGTAGGTCCGATATTAGCATGCGATTTGCCAATTCCCTCAAGGTGATTCTGTTCGCCAGCACTTGCGAACGGCTCCAGATGTGCAAATGTTGGTGCAGGTGGCATGGCAATTCCACTAGGTCTCCTTCCCCGAGAGCTCGCACTCATTCCTCGTGACATACGGTGTTCATGGGAGTTAGGGGGCGGTAATGATCCTGGCATTCCACTCAAATCATCATCGGAAGCTAAGCTAGCATCTGAATCGGAATCTGTTTCTGTCTCTCCATCTTCCTGACCTGCAATCGTTTCATCATCACTAGGAGGATCTTCGCTTATTTGGCTAAAATTGCTATCTCTGCGATCGTCTCCATCGTCACTTCCATCTCCCGAACCGCCTCCTATACCTCCGCCTGTTTGACCATTTCGGCCTCCGTCGCCTCCGCTGAATGCTTGTTTCCCCCTTGCTGAATTGAGACGGGGTAGGTGTGATAAACGTGACGATCTCGTTCTTCTTGCTTGGCCATTATTTGTTGAATCTTGATGCTGAGCTTGTGATGTTTGAGTAGAATACATATTGCTTGGAGATTGCCTGTTTTCAAGAACTGATATGCTTTCGTTGTTATTTGCACCGCTTTCCTCCTTTGCACGTTCCAAACATGCCTGTTCTTCGTCTATTCCCAATGCATTGGTAAATTTGCTTTGTTGTTTTGAAGGCAAAAAAGATGCAAAAGGTGAAATGAACTGAGTGGTAGACATCTCGCCTGCTTCTTCCGAATTTGTCAAAGTAACCTTTGTAGCATTATGATTTTGTTGCGGACCGTTTTTAGTGTTTTCTTCTATGATTGCTGATTGAAGGGGTAAAGATGACTGTCTTTTGTTGAATGTTGGTGAAGTAGGTGAAGCTGATCTGGTGTTGTTGTTGTGTATGACTGATTGATGGTAAAAGTTTATGATTGGTTGAAAATTGAAAACATTATGCCAAGTATTGGGTGACAATCGGTCAGCGTTTGCCGCATAGAGAGAGAAAAGAGAGTGGAATAATGCATATGCATAATCGTAGGCGGTGAGCGGAGATACAACAATACACGCATAGTTTTACAATTGCGGGCAGTTGTGATCAGTTGGGCGATCGATCAGTGTAAACGGGCGCGTGAATTGTTATTTTTTAGTCATAGAGTTAGACCGAAAAGGCAAAAAGCAGGCGATGTTGTGTTGCACAGCGCAGCGCGGGTCCATTTACCCACATAGATGTGAAACGAACGAGCGAGTGCATTTGTGGTTTGATCGGACGATTTGAGCCGGGGTATTGCAAATTTGTATACAAAAACCGTTGATGCAATCGGAGATGCCGTTTTGCCGTAAAAAGTGAACAAATTGATCCATATGACACAAATCAGACATCAATGATCGGAATGGCGGAGTTGGAAAAATAAAAGAAATTGAAAAGGTTGTGGCGTTGAAGTGATGCCGAATAGATTAAAACGATCCGTTCATAAATTGAATAGAAAACGTCATTCACGGGAAAGAAATGAAAAAGAAAGATAAGTGGAATTATGAGTATATGGTTAGTCTTTTAATGATAATTTAAAGTTTACTCACCGTTATCTGCCTTTGTTAATTGCTTTTTCTTATCAAATGGATTGATTTGATTATGCACGGATTCAGATGGTGTTGCCCATTGAATACCGTCATCTTCTGCAATCTCATCACTACCGTTCGATGACGCAGAGATTTGTGGAGAATGTTCATTTGCTGATGTTGCTGAAGTGCTTTGAGCTATTGAAGGGCGGGTTTCACTATTTTGTCTGCTTGGGTTCATGCTGCTTTGCACACTACTTGCTCCGTCTTCGCTACTTGTGCTGGGCTCAGTTGAACTGAAGCTAGAAGGCGCATCGCTATCACGACGGGTTTCATCTTCCTCGGGCCTGGCGAAAGGCACTCCGCTTTCTGCAGATTCTAGAGCGGAAATTGAAACGTCTGAATTTGCATCGTGGGTTGCGATACGTATGTCGCCATTTTGAGGCTCAACATCTGTTACTGAAATTTGCTCTATTGGCATTGCTCTTTGCTTGCCCTTTTCGATTGAACTTTGATGTATATCTTTTTGAACGGAAACATTTCCCGACTTTTTTGAATTCATCTTTGGCAAATTGGCAAAACTGAATCTGCGTAATTTAGCAGAAGCCATGGCAGCAACCCGAGCTTTAGCCTGTAAAACGCCATCTGTCAACGTTCCTGCTTGAGGCGTAAAGCGCGGTGAAGTAGGTGAATTATCGCCCGCTTCACGATTGCCAGCAATCGGAGTTGATAAGTCAAATTGACTCCTTGAGAACCATCTTCGATCGTTTGAAGTACCATTCCCGCTATGAGGCGGATCGCCGTAAGGACTTGAATCACTTGCTGACATAGCCCTTGACCTTCTGACATCGAGTGAAAGTCGTGAGAATCCAGATCTGTTATTATTAGAGTAACAAGGCGGTGATGCTAGCTCAGAATGATGAAATGGTCTTGCAGACTGTTCGTCATCATCCTCTTCGTCTGGCACATGCCTTTGCGTGGCAGGAGTTGATTTCTGCTGTTTATCGGTCAATATTTCCTCTTTTCTAAGGTGTGAGATGGTACGCATTAAAATCATCCTCTCTCTTTCGGAAGAGAAACCATTGTTTTGTGCATTTATTCGGATTCTGTGCGGCTCTCTTGCAAGACTGCGGTTGTCTGCTGGTGCTGCAGTACTCCTTGAGCCGACATCAGCTGTCATGCCGGAAATAGAGACTGATTTTCCTTGTCCAACAGGTGTTCTTTCACTTCCTCCTGTCGATATGATTGGCGGTACAACCATATTTGGAGGAGATCTGTTGGTTGTTGAGGCTGCAGCCATCTTGGGATACGATTTGACCTGGCTGTCTGAGAGATTAGCTTGTCTTTGATGAGGATGTATGCATACGATGAATGATTCTTCTTTTCTGTTTTTCCGTTGGGTTGGTGATGATTGAAATGATTATGAAGAGGTTGAATGTTTTGGAAGAAAGAGTAAACTAGAATTGGCCAGTAACTTTTTACGCCTAATCACTCGTAATAAACATCTGCATGAGAGAATAGTGTATATATGCATCAGTGGGTATAAATTTCCGTTTTTTACTGGAAGCCGTAATAGAATCGCGCTTTTAGAATTCCTCTTTCTGCTTTCTTTGTACCACACACACGCCACAAATTGACTGTATCGGCACCGATCAAAGTTAAGGAAAAGTATACTCTCCCTCTCTCTTTTTCTCACAATAAACACCCTGAACTAAAGATGACAAGGGCCCATCTTTGCTCGCTAAAATCCAATCTAAAGTGGAGACAGAATTCACGCTAACTGTGCTTTTATGAAATTACATGACAGAAAATGAGTTGTCAAATGTGTCGCCGGCGGAAGATTAAAGCAGTGCAAAAGAGCAGTCAACGGTGAACGTAAAGCAGTGTTGAATCAGCATGGGAAGACGCGTTCGGTGTCTACTCCTTTTCACCCTACTTGCATTATCCATGCATGATTAAACATCCCACCTCTCTCTTCTTTCCTTCGATGCACTTTATCGAATTTCGATTTAAAAGGCAAAACGCGCAAGCCCACGCGATTGATGTTGTTGTTGCTGCTGCTGCTTCTTGCTCCACAAACGGCGTTCCAATTTTGATCTAGCTATTTCCGAAACAGCGGCTCCCTCATCCCGACTGATTAGATGGGAGCTGATCAAGCTGACCTGATTTCAATCCCCGTCTCAAGCACCCTAACTTTCGGAGAAGATGGATTTAATCAATGCTTAAATAAATGGAAATATAATAATATCCGAAGAATCATCGTATTCCACAAAATGTCGGTGATCATAATGACTGTGGATTCAATCCCCACTGAAGACAATCAATCATAACGGATGTGCCTTACTCGCACTTCCACAGTGGCTAAGTGTGAGAAATTAGACGTCCCGAGCAGTCAAGCATCCTGCTAATAAATTGATAGAGCACGTGACCGGCTAAGGGAATCATCCTTGCAACAGAACTTAGCTTTTGACGCGTTTTAGTGCAAACACCTACGTTCGGCCGAACCGCAGAGTTACTACACTGCGCATCAACTTAACGTACAACACTTTAAGCGCGACAGGATTAAGTATCTGCAAGAATCAAATACAATTTCATCAGAGTTGTATTCGCTGCTTAAAGTTCGATACATACGCACTATTAACGCACACAATCTGTATAAACTTGTTGTAATTGCTTAAACTTGAGTCGATATTCTCAATATACGATCACGCATCCTTCTCACCACCGCCATTGTATCATCATTATAGGACGAAACGGCACAAGGTAAGCATCGATGATGGATGTGTAGAGGGATGAAAGGGGAAGATACGCTGCTGCGATTTAGGGGATGACAGGGACGAAAGAATGGAAAAGACAAACGACTAGGTTGGCAGGAGGAATGTTGTAGGAGGAAAGCGGACACATGATTGTTTTCGATCAACAAATCGACTGATGACAAAAAGAAGTTATGTCTCTTGAAGAGGTGGGAAAGCAGTATTATCGAATTCATCAACAGCGCAGCAATGAAGAAAGCTTCTTCTACATATTGAAAGCCCATTTCCAACCACACATACTGATTCTTTTTCTCTCTCTATCACCACTTCTCAGTCACAATGTCCAGTTTCAAACGTTACGTCGAAGTAGGCCGGGTGGTTGTCGTCAACCAAGGTGAAGATGCCGGTAAATTGGCCGTCATCACCGAAATCATCGACCACAACAAGGCAATCATCGATGGACCCACCACAGGTGTTGCACGTCAAGCAATCCGTTACCGTTACGTTTCCTTGACAAAATTGGTTGCAAAGGGATTGCCCCGCGCTGCCGGTACTGCCACAGTTAAGAAAGTTCTCGACAAGGAGAACATTGTACAAAAATGGACAGAATCCACATGGGCAAAGAAACAAGCTGCACGCAAGGCAAAGAGTCAAATGACTGACTTTGACCGTTTCAGTGTTATGTTGTTGAAGAAACAACGCAGACGTATCATCAACGGACAGATCAAGAAGGTTAAGGCCTAAACTCGATTCACCCGTCAAAAATAATCTTTCGACGTATCGTGCGACTTTGGAATACTTATTCGACTTCCATTTCGCCTTGTTTCGATCGATCATACACCATTACGCACATTCACACACATATTCATTTGCGTTTTCGCAGCATTCACACTTGTAGAATCATATGACTTAAACATCATCCAACTGGCGTGAGAAGAGGTGAAGGGTGAGGAGGGAGAAAGGGCGACCAAATCTGTTCATGAAAGGAGAGGCGAGTGATTCCATCATCACCATCAATTTTCCCAATTGTGTTCTCTCTTCTTTCATGGAAGGTCTGCGACGAAGGACAATTAGAGTTGCTCAGTGATTATATTTGATTCGTGCTGGTTGATCTATGAATACAGTGAATGATAAAGGTATGAGATTAGGATTCGTTATTATTATCTTGCGATGCTTTAGCGATCAATCCGTTTTGTAAAAGGCTGACACGCAACATCAAACCTTTTGCCGTGCTGATGTGATGATTACCAGTTTTGATAGCGTCTTCAAATAGAGCTTGTCTGGAATCCACTTTGTCGACGAGCAATACATTGTTCTGCAGATCCAATCTACCGGCAATATCGCCCGATTGAATCAGGTGCAGAAGCTCGTTCAAAGCACGCATACGGCCTTGTTCATCAGACCATCCTAAAGATGTTGCTAATCTATGGACTTGCAAGGTATCAAAAGGTTGAACGAATTGACGTAAAGCTCTTTGAACGATGTGACGCGAGAGAGTGTGGAAATGGGGTGCCAATATCACATCAAGAAGAGCTCGAGTTTGTAACTTGTCCAACAAAGAAAGAGCACGTTTATACTCGCATGCATAGAAGGACTCAAGTAGTTGTTGGGCTTGAGTGTTGTCCTCCAGCATAGAATGAATGCCTTGACGATCAATCACTCTTGCTTTGAGCTCTTTACGATCCAATATTGCAATACCACATAATACAATGTACGTGGCAACATCGTTTCTTGATGCCATTGATGCATATGCATTGCCTACATCTGCTCCTACCTCCAAAAAGCTAGCTACAGCCTGACCATACCGGCCCAATGACATGTTCGCTAAACCCTGAGCAACGTACAATCGAGCTCGTATTTCGCGGATATGACGCTTACCTTGTGTTTCCGATTCACGTTGATTGGGCAGCATATCTGAAGCTCTTTGAAATTCTCCACGAGATCGATCGTTAGAAGATCCTGCAGATCCTCCTGCTCGGAATAAAGCACCGATTGCGTCTGCTCCTGAAGTCGTTCCACCTTTAGACATCGTTGATGCACTTGATCCGCTTGCTTTGCTCTTTGCAGATGCAGCAGCAGCTTGAGGATCATAATCATCTAGTAACCCTTCAGCTTTGCTCACATATCCGCCAAGAGCGTTAAACTCCTTCATCTCCAGCGAAACTTCGATCACATTTAGGCACATTTCCACCAGATGCTCATTTGTGCTGCAATAATCTCTTGTGTTGATATAATACTTGAATGCGTCATGAAGACTGCCAACTCTACGCATTTGATCACCCAAGTCGCGATATCCCATCCTTATACTCTCTTTGATCAAATTGTTTTGGTAATTGCGTAATTCCAAATCCAATTTTTCCAATTCGACTCGATTTGCTTTTTCGGTTGACTCACACCATTCCACGTCCACTTCCTGTCTTTCTTCTTTTGGAAGTAGTGGCGATCCAGCTTCTGGCTTTGTGTTACGGATATATAATGCTCGATGATACAATTGTACATCCTTCGTTGTTGTTTTGACCAATTCCAATGCAGCATTTGCACATGTTTGACGTAGAGAAGACACTTTTTCTGCCAAGAACAGCAATCGATCAATCTTTGTTCGACCTTTATAAGCGGAAATGTATGATTCCCAATCGAATTCTTCTTGATTTACTTCAATGCGTTCTGTTGTGGCTGATGAATGATTTTGATCGTATTCAATCGTTTGATTGATCGGAGGTGTCATCTCAACATCATCATCGCCATTTTCCAATGACATGACCTGATCTGACGAGGCAGTCAGATTGACATCCTCATTCTCCATCATTTTGAATGCTGTCAAGTGATGGTGGCTCTCAATAGGATGTGTAATATAATCAAGTTCATCTATCGTGCACGGACTTAAAAGTGAAATGCTACGCCGCCCTCTTCATTAACTCAATCAAAGAGCTAGAACGCTTTAAAAGAAAGTGCGCCCCATATAAATGCAACACGTATAAAACACACAGGTACAATGCTATATATCTCAAAGGATGGTCTTATGATTGAATTTAAGCTGGAGAAATTGCTAAAGCTGAATTAAAGTTTTGATTATAAGCACACAACGGAACAAAAAGGCGGATCAACAAACTAATCCGTCTTCTATTTGATCACCATCAGTATACCCTCTTCTTCTCTACTTGGAAGACGATCAAAACATTTATGCTCTTATACCAATCATGAACGGAAAAGGGACAAATAACCTAAACGGATACGAGATAAGAGATATAAATGCACAGATCCAATCTTCATCTTCTTCAACAACAAATATGTCATCAAAACCTGTAAACATTGACACAACCTCATCTCGCAATACAGCAGCACCACAATCATCCCCTCTACCAAGAAATCCTCCTTTGCCAGGTTCATTAACTTCAGCTTTTATATCCACACCCAATCGGAGATCATCTATGGAAGTATCAGGCGGCGCATATGGCGCAAGTCCCAACTCAGCAGGCAATACAAGTTCAAGTCGGATACCGCATAGTATCAGCTTGTCTCACAAAGATTCTTTTGGGCAGTATGAAAGCCCTTCAAGGCCATCCAATCCGGGATCAAAACCCTCGGTGACCATATCTCACTCATACACCCCACAAAAGTCAAGTTTGGCCGGATTGGATGAAACGGAAGATAATGTGGTGATTGACGAGACAGTAGACCTTGATAACGACGAAAGGGATGCACCGAAAGACATGCAATTCGAACAATTCGATGAAGCATCAAACGTATATGACTCAGAGAACGATATTGGCAGTACTCTTACACCTCTTTCTAAAAAGAATGCTACGTCAACTTCACTTTCCAATCCTCCCACACCTACAGCTCGTAATGCTTCACTTAGTACTGCTGGAATCAGTGCCCCGCAAGCATCAAGCAGTAATGCTTCTGATCAAGGACATAATTCGCTCTCTGGTCATGTAGGAAGTATGGCAAGATCTCCTTTGGCACAACCTCAATCTTTAGCGCCCGCAGCACGAGCTGGATCCAGGAATGGTAGCACAGGACCTTTGTCAGAGCCAGAAGTACCGGATGCTGGCTTGCAAACTACTACGACAAAAGTGGAAGAAGGAAGGCAATCAGTCAAAGAAAGTGCCAGCAAAGACAGATTACGCAAACCATCACGTCATTTACAAGAGAGTAGGAATACGGTTCAAAATGGCAGCGGACAAACATCAAAGGCTGGTGGTGGTAGCTCAAATCAGACGGATCCACCTTCGACTAGACAATCTGTGCAACGGTCATCAAGATCGCTCACTTCACGTGTTCAGCCACAGCTTCCTCATGCTGAAAATGTGAAACCTGCTCCTCCTCCTGCGATGTATTGGAGCAAAGTGCCGGTCCACGGAAGTGTACCTCGAAGAAGTTTCCGAGCGCATTCTGCATGTCTTTCCGATGAGATTCTTTGGTTATTTGGCGGATGCGATGCGAAAGGATGTTTCAGAGATCTCTGGTGCTTTGATTGTGAAACGATGTGTTGGTCCAAACCAAAAGTTACAGGTGACCTACCTCCAGCAAGACGGGCTCACAGTTGCACAATTGTCGATAAACGGTTGTTTGTGTTTGCTGGTGGTGATGGACCGTATTATTTCAATGACTTGTACGTTTTCGATACTGTCTCTCTCCGATGGACAAAGCCTGATGTCTTTGGACAGGCTCCTAGCCCACGAAGAGCGCATACGAGCAACTACTATAATGGGCAATTGATCATCTTTGGCGGCGGTAATGGTGTGGGTGCTCTGAATGACGTGTATGCGCTTGATTTGACGGATTTCGATCGATTGGAATGGAGAAAGATCGAATGTAAGGGCAAAGTGCCCATAGGGAGAGGATATCATACATCCAACATCGTTGATGGAAAATTGATCGTGATTGGAGGATCGGATGGTCATATGAGCTTTGACGATATACATATTCTCAAATTGGATACAAAGGTATGGTATCAAGTCAAAACTGATGAATCACACAATCGACTTGGACATTCTTCCGTTTTGGTAGGATCTTATTTGTTCATTGTTGGTGGACATAACAGTCACAGCTATACACCGGACATTCTCACTTTGAATCTCGTCAATCTGCAATGGGAATCAAGAAACGTTTGCGGAAAGAAACCACCCGGACGTGGTTATCATCAAGCATGGCTACATGACAGTAGACTTTTCGTTCATGGTGGATTTGATGGAAAAGAAATCTTTGATGATTTATACTACATCGATTTATCCGCTTGTGCTTATTTACCACAAATTACCAGTTTCAGCGTCGAATTGGACGATGAATGATGCCTGAATCATTCAAACATTTGCTATCAATTACAAAATAGTTGCTCATTCGCTTTAAACCGATATGCTATACACTACTCCAACATCTGTATTATCTGCTCCATCTTTTACTTCAAAATGTCTTTTTCATCTTTTAATAGTGTTTGTGTGTGCTTTCTCATGCTAAACGCGTCCATTTACGCGTTCTCCAAAAGTGTCAGTGTGAATTTAAGCGCTGCTTGCATTAATGAAAGGGCGCTACTGCGACAATGATTATGTACGCAAAAGCAAACTAGTGCATGCAGAAAAGCTGCAATCAAATCGCACGCACGCTGTTGTGGTACAATTCGTGTCAAACTTTTCAGACAAATAAAAATAATTTTTTAATTTTCTAGATGTCGTCGATTGCGCTTCCGATACACTGGAGATCTGCCTTATTCTGCAGCAAGAAGAAACCGGGGTTGGCAGGCGTGCTGAGCAGATTGATTGGAATATCCCGTTCTCTTCTTGTCAACCACCAAACTTCGCAAAACTCTTTCCCTTCATAATTCTGTTTTTCAACTCATACGAGCATTTCAATAGCTCTCACAACCTTCATCACATGGAATAAGAAGCGGTGGCAAGAATTGCAATCAAGTTGTCGATCAACATACTGCAAGCCAAACAAGGCATTTTTGCCACTTGTACCCTATACACAAGTCTGATTTCCTCCTCTACATCACATTCTTTACATCGCCTCTTATCTTTGAGACATCATGGCGTCCACTCGACCAGTACGATCCACAAGACGCAATTCGCGTTACAATCCTATGGTGATTGTAGATGATGATGTGAGCGTTGGTGCAGATACAACCGTTCAAACACCCAACAAGAGTGGTCAAGTGTCTCGTCGTACGTCCGGCACAAGTACACCAGCCACAAGCATCAGCAATGATGACTCTGCAGATGCAGATGAAGAAAAGAAGCCGGTCACTTCTGCTCCAAACACTCTCGTCAAATCGAGTCCAAAAGTTGCTTTAGAGATCAAAGCTGATCCTGCAATCGATCTTGATGCAGGTGATGTTTCTGCTAGTGGTAGACCTTGCCGTTCTGGTCGTAAGTCTCGTGTGCTTGACCTTCTTGACACGATTGATCTGACTAGCACGCAAGATTCAAGCTCTCAAAAGTCCGTCAAGCCCGATCCAGAACCATCTAGCTCCAGTCGTTCAAGTCGTGCAAAAGGAAAGGGCAAGGCAAAAGCTGAAGACCTTGTGGACGATAAGAAAGCCATTGTCAAGAGCGATAAAGGCAAAAAGCGAGCAGCAGAAGAAATGGATGTGGGCGATTACGTATTCGATAGCGAAGACGAGGAAGCTATGATCCGCCGAATTTCTGAAACAGTCTCTGCTATCGGTACACCAACAAAGAAGCGTTCTCGTAATGCTGTCAAGGCGAAATTGGAGGATGACGCTTTGGATGCGGATGGTAGTTTGTCAGACGAGAGCGAAATTATCACACCCAAACGCAAGCGAGAAAAACGATTCATGGACAACATCATTCCCAATGAGGAAGATATGGAGACAGAATCAGAATACGATGGAACCGAATATGATACAGCATCTGAAGCAGAAGAAAGCAGCGATGATGATGTTCCATTGGCCGGCCCAAGCAATACTGAAGGCGGAGCACCAGGTAGTGTAGCCGAGGAACAGCGATGGGAGACTGCCAAACAACGTGCTAAACGTTTGAAACGTGAAGCACGAGAAGCAAGAGCAGATGCTAATGCTCGTCGAACAGGTAAAGCACGCAAGAAAGATAAGCGCTCACACTATCAAAAGAGTTATGATGCCCTTGTGCAACATCATCCCGAATTGGCAACTGTTTGGCCAGACTTACAAAAGAAGCCCAAGCATGAAGTGAAGCAAGCCTTGCAACCTACTGGTTTGACCATCAAGTTGCTTCCTTTCCAATTGGAAGGTTTGCATTGGCTCACCTCCCAAGAAAAGTCTGACTGGAAAGGTGGTATCTTGGCAGATGAAATGGGAATGGGAAAAACAATTCAAATCATCAGCTTATTCCTGTCTGACCGCAAGAAACCCAATTTGGTCGTTGCGCCTACGGTTGCAATCTTGCAATGGAGGAATGAGATCGAAAAATACACAAAAGGTTTCAAAGTCATCGTATGGCACGGAGCCAATCGTTCTTCTGACGCAACGGCACTCAAAAGTGCCGATGTTGTTTTGGCCAGTTATGGTGTTTTGGAAAGTGCTTTCCGTAAGCAAGTTTCTGGCTTTAGACGTAAAGGAAACATTGTCAAGGAACAAAGTGTGGTGCACAGCGTTGAATGGCATCGTGTGATCCTTGATGAAGCACACAACATCAAAGAACGAGCAACTAACACCGCCAAAGCGGCTTTCGCGTTAACGGCAAAATACCGTTGGTGCTTGTCTGGAACACCATTGCAGAATCGTGTTGGTGAATTGTACAGCATGATTCGCTTCTTGGATGGTGATCCATTCTCATACTATTATTGCAAGAGATGCCCTTGCAAATCTTTGCATTGGCAATTCACCGATCGTCGTAATTGCGACAAGTGTGGTCATACACCCATGCATCATACCTGCTTCTGGAATAACGAAATCTTGAAACCTATTCAACGATTTGGAACGGCTTCAGGTGAAGGGCGTGATTCGTTTGAACGATTGCGTTTATTGTTGGGAGGCATGATGCTTCGTCGTACGAAGCTCGAACGAGCAGATGATATGGGTTTGCCACCACGTACTGTCGAAGTACGTCAAGATATGTTCAACGAAGAGGAGGAAGATCTGTATGAATCTTTGTATAGCGACACTACACGAAAGTTTAGCACATATTTGGATCAAGGTACCGTGTTGAACAATTACTCCAACATTTTCACCTTACTCACCCGTATGCGTCAATTGGCCTGTCATCCCGATTTAGTCTTGCGTTCCAAGACGGGTATTACGAAGAAATTGTTGGGAGATGAAGCTGGCAACATCCATGTTTGTCGTATCTGTCAAGAGGAAGCAGAAGATGCAATTATGTCCAAATGTCGTCACATCTTTTGTCGTGAATGTGTTCGTCAATGGGTCGGCGATGGTGAAGCAGAAGATGGACGTGCACCTGAATGTCCTTATTGTCATGCCACTTTGACGATCGATCTGGAAGGTGATACGTTGGATCCCCCACGTGATAATGACAACTTGGGCGCTCGTCAAGGACTCTTGTCTCGTTTGGATTTGAACAAATGGCGTTCAAGTACCAAGATTGAAGCATTGGTAGAGGAATTGACTAAATTGCGTTCAGAAGACAAGACGATCAAGAGTTTGGTGTTCAGTCAATTTGTCAACTTCCTTGATTTGATTGCATTCCGCTTAACCCGAGCCGGTTTCAATATTTGTCGATTGGAAGGAAACATGTCACCTGAAGCACGTAACAAGACGATTGAGCATTTCATGAACAATCCGGGCGTGACTGTCTTTTTGGTTTCACTCAAAGCAGGTGGTGTGGCAGTGAACTTGACGGAAGCTTCACGTGTTTACTTGATGGATCCTTGGTGGAATCCGTCTGTTGAAGTTCAAGCAATGGATCGTATTCATAGATTAGGTCAACATCGTCCGATTATCGTTAAACGAATGGTTGTTGAAAATTCCATCGAAAGTCGTATTATAGAATTACAAAACAAGAAAAGCGCAATGATCGAAGCAGCAATCGGAAAAGATGATTCAGCAATGGGTCGTTTAAGCGTTTCCGATTTGAGCTTCTTGTTCAGTCTTTAGAGGTCGTATCAAGCATCAAGAATCGTTTCATCAAATATTCAGCAACATACACGAAACAACCACCTGTACATTCATCAGCACAAGCAACAATAAACAGTAATTTGTTCCGTAGACCGGTTTCACGATAAAATTAGCAAAAATTCTCAAACATTCATCATCATTTGTAACATTGTAAAGTTTCTCGTCACCTAATCGCATCCTGTATACATACTTTAGTACCCCTCCGTAATGGCATCCTATCAATCCCCAATGATTCGACTTTTCTCGGGGCACACATGGACTATGATGATGATTGATCGAATGCTATTGCATATGAGATGATAGTTATGAGAATTACTGCAAAAAAAGAGGAAAGGAAGACAGAGCTTGAGATAAAGGTATGATTGGTTATTGACATGAGTGAATAGTTGGCTAGGTATGCATGAATTTAATGTGATAGATATTTGATTTATTTTAAGAGTTTTTTTTGTTTGGCATTGTGAAACACCCGCTTAATGAACTCGTCTCTTGGAAGAAGCAATACTGTTGATGCTCTGTCCACTGTTTGAACGAGGAAGTGTGGCAGTAGATCCTGCACGTGTTCTTGCTGCTGAAGATTTGATAGCCGAACCAGAGATGATGGAAGATTTGGTTTGTAGAGTTGGTGTGTTCTGCTGACTGTTCAGTGTAGAGGACGTTGTCGGGCCGCCCATCGTGACAATGGCAGTAGCATCCTTTGAAGCAATCTTGATCATCGTATCACGAGCATATTTCACTTTTGGAATTAATGACCGTACAAGTTTGCGTTCTTCAGGTGAAGTGACGGACAAAGGATACTCGCCCTCTTCGCGATCATCCACTTTTTCGTAAGCGGACGTCAAACGCTGATTGACTTCTTCACGGGCCGATCTTGTCTTCTCGGCAATATCAAGGAATTCCTCCATTGTCCATGTACGAATGGTTTGTGCTTCATCGCTACTCTTTGATGGAACAATTGCTGTCAAGACCAATCCATCATTGCTGAATAGAAGTTTGATGTGATCGTAAAAGTTGAATTGAACAGTAGAAGTGCTCAAGCGGAAGACAATAGCCTGCAAGCATCGGTACCAACGCCAAATGAATGGCATTTCAGAAGTTCGTCCACGATCATCAAGTGGCAAATCAAATCCTTCCAAACGAGCATCAATCTTGTCTTCAAAGTAGCCCAAGATCTTATATTTGCGTTGAACATCGCGTGACATTGAATCACCAACAGGGCCACTTTGAGGAATCACGTAGTTCTCTGGACGAGCTTGATAGCCACGAGAATCATGCAAGCGAGCAACGTGATCGAAATGCGTTCGGCCGGCATTGGTAGCGATACTGGATTCGTCTTTGAGGTAAACACCGATTGTACCATCACTTAAAGCGTAACCCAATCCATACTTGTCCATCTCATCTAGCCAACAAATGATGTATGCCTTTGGCGATCTGGGTCGCATTCTATTAGGGTTCAAAGAATCTGGACGTACCGCCAATGCGATCTTTGTTTCACGGCTTGCACGGTCGGAAGGAACAAATCTTGTTCGATCTTGGAATGATTCCAAAGCTTCATCCAAGTTTTGCACCATGACATCCAAATTAGCCAATTCGATGCAACCATCAACCTCTTTCGTATCATCAGAGATTACAATAGGGTTTTGTGCTGATTGACGTGAATCAGGCCTTGCTTGACCCGAAGCAACGCTAGCCAAGCTACCATTGCTGCCGCTTCCCGTCATAGCTGCAACCAAGCGTGCTTTCTGAGTCAACATACGACGTTCGTCTGCTGCTGCTGCACTGGCCAAATCACCACGAGAGCGTACATGTGAGAGGGCTGAAGGAGGAGGCATCATTCGTGCATCCATTGGACTGTTGGCATTCTCTTTATCAGCATTTCCAGAGAATAGTGCATTTTGAGCAGGTTCTTCGTATCCACCTTTGCCGATAGCCATATTTGCTGCCATTGAATTGCCATGTTGACGACTGAGCGAGAGAGCGCTGATTTGACGAGAAAGTCCTGTGAGCGATTTTGGTCGTAAAGGTACTGTGACATCGGGAGCTTTGGATAATGCTTTTTTGCCCAATTGCAAAAAGCCAGCCAGAGAATTTCCCGGTTGAATTGCATTTTCGAATTCTTTGTCCATACGCTCACGTTCATCTTCAGCTCTTTCTTGTGCTCTACGTTTCTCTTTTGCCGATTGCCGTCTTTGTTCCTCAGTCATTTCTTCTTCCTCAACTTCATCATCTGCATCGTCTCTCCAACAAGATTGCTTTTTGAGAGTCTCAAGATTTCGCAAAGATTCCTCCATCGTGCGCGGCAAGTCAAGGTGTGGTGCTATTTTGGTTGCCGTATAAGGTAAGTGTAGGGGTACTTTGCCGACTGTGAACCATGGATGAGACATAATTTCAACGAGAGTTGGCCGTTGGGAAGGGTCAGGGGTCAAGATACTTCTGATCAAGTCACAAGCTTCAGGACGAACGTGATCTGGAATTGTGTATTCGTTCTTGCGAATCTTTTCATAGATTGCGGGAACGCTGCTCGTTTGGAACGGAGGCTTTCCAGCAAGCAAAGTGTACATGATGACACCGACAGACCAAATGTCTACCTCAAAGCTGTGTCCATTTCCATTTCCTTCATATAAAATTTCGGGAGCGATGTAGTTTGGCGTTCCACACATGGTCTTCTTGCGCTCTTCTGGGTCTTTGAGTAAAGCTGCCAAACCAAAATCTCCAATCTTGATATTCATATTGGAATCCAAAAAGATATTACCCAACTTCAAGTCACGATGGATGACGTGGTTCATATGCATGAATTTGGTACCAGCAATGACTTTGACCATGTAAAATCGTGCTTCCTCATCCGAAACAGGTCCACGAGTACGAATCATATCGTTCATGCTACCGTTTGAGCAAAGCTCTAATTTGAAGTATACATTCGCCTCATCTTGAAATAGATCGACAAAGTGAACAATGTTTGGGTGATGTAAAGATCTGTGAATCAAGATCTCAGCCAGCACTTTTGATCTGTTCTTTCTTTGATGTAATAGTGCTTCTTTATTGATTGCTTTGAATGCCATGGCAGTTCCGTCTGGTACTTGTACTTGATAAACACGAGCGAAACCACCTTGACCGAGTAGCTTTCCAGTGACATGAACTACATTATTTTCTAAATCACGAATCGTTGGTCCAACTTCTGGAAGCTTAGACTTTTTCATCATTGTGATCTTTTTCTTTGTTGGAGAACTTTTGCTTGATGCAGTTGCCCCTTGAGATGATGGCTTACGAGAAGATGAAAGTGGCTTTGTTGGTGAAGTCGTCATTGGACGAGCGGAAGGGCCGGCAGAAAGGCCATAAGATGCTGCAGTGGCAGCCATGACTAATTAGCAAATAGAAGCGATTCCGAAAAGCTGATAAAGACAGAAGTGGATTGTTGTTGTTTGATGATGTTGAGGATGCAACTTGTGATTCCCTAAGACTCAAAAGCCAACGATTGCTTGGATTGGACGATGATTGTGATTCTTGAGTCAGCTTGAAGATGGGATGAAAGAGGGAAAGGGAGGAGAAAGGGATGATGGCAGTAGTAGCAAGATAGCACAAGGAGGGAGAGAAATTAGGTGAACACACAAATGTCCGCCTTTCCCTTTGTATGCTCCGATTCGAATTACAATTCTGTTCAATACAAAATTGAAGTGTGTTTCAATAGACTCTGTCACTTATTCCCGACAAGTTTATTTGTCACTGCTCTAGAGCTGTATTCTACGATGCATGCATGACCGCATAGAATTCAATGAACAGGTTGTGTCATTACACTTTCTGACAATTCGTCGATTTCCATTTCTGGGCACAAGACTTGCCTTTTGTTACCTAGCGCGTTGGAACAACACTTTTTATGAATACTTCTGACGCGTTGAATCACGTGCAGAATAAACTCCGCAAAAAAGTGTTGGTGTTGGTTGTTTGAATGTTATACACTTTGTTCTCATTCTCTCACTTTTGTCAATATGAGAGATGACAGATGACTATGGCAGTAATGACTCGTCAAAGCGAATCACGCTGTCTTTGCCAGATAGTCATATCACACAGGATGGGCAAATGAACGAAGATAGCCTTCGGCAGTCTTCTAGAGCTTTTCACTTTCCTTATCCGAAAGCATACTCGATTCAATTGGATTTAATGCGAGCAGTTTTCACTGCAATTGAAGATGAAAAAGTTGGAATATTTGAAAGTCCGACTGGAACAGGAAAGTCACTGAGTCTGATTTGCGGTGCATGCACTTGGCTAGAAGCCAATGCCAAACGTCATGAGCAAGGTCAATTGAAGGGAAGTGTCGATGATGAAGAGCCTGATTGGGTTAGAGAGCATGAAAGTAATAGACAGATGGAGGCATTGCAAAGTCATGAGAAGGAGCTGCAAAGTAGGATTGAAGCAGCACGCATTCGATTGGAAGAAAGGAGGAAGAATTCTGCAACCTCCATCAAACGCACCAAGGTGTCACGAACAGGAATATCCAACAGTGATTCAGAGGACGAGTATCTGGTCGAAGACAATGATCAGCGTACCGCCAACACAAGCAATGCAGCTCGCCCCGATGATCCATCGTCATTCCTCTCCCCTGCTGTTAGAGCTTTGATGGAGAAGAGTGGAGCATACATGGGGAACTCGAAAGGGAAAAAGATTCCATTCTACGCCAAACAGGGCAATGAGAGAGACGAGGAGGACGAACCAGAAACAGTGCCGAAAATCATCTATGTCAGTAGAACGCATAGTCAAGTATCGCAATTCATCAATGAGGTAAAACGGACGGATTTCGCTGGTGTTGATCTCACTATACAAAATGCTCGACAAGTGGCCGGTAATCGCGATTCCAACCGCTTTTCGGTGAGAAATACATCTCTCGGTGGTCGAAAGCAGATGTGCATCAATCAATCAGTCATCGATATTGGTCAAAGAGCAGGTATAGAAGCAATGAATGAAAAGTGTCTCGATTTAATGAAACGTAAAAAGGGCTCCACCTCCAAAGCAGGCTGTGAATACTTACCTGCTCCTGATGAAGCCGGACAGCTAAAATTGATGGAGTATCGCGACACCGTCTTGGCAGATGTTCACGATATCGAGGATGCTGTCAAGATTGGCAAAGAGATGCATATCTGTTCATACTTTGGTGCAAGAGGAAGTGCAAGACAAGCGCATATCGTGACAATGCCTTATAATCTTCTTCTCAATGCTAGTGCTCGCGATTCTCTGAACATTGAGCTGAAAGGAGCAATTGTGATAATTGATGAAGCGCACAATCTGATCGACACAATTCTGGCAACGCACACTGTTCTTGTCAGTTCTTGGCAGATTCAAAGAGCCATTAGCCAAATCAATGATTATCTGGACAAATTCTCGTCACGTCTGAAGGGTACAAATGAGATCAATTTACAAAAGCTACTGCTTACTTTGCGTAGTCTTGATACATCCTGCACCAATGCCGTGCAAAACAAGGCGCAATCAATGACCCCAGCCGAACTTATGCGAAAGATTGGCGGGAATATCGACCAGATCAATTTGTTGGAATTGGATAGATGGCTTCGGGAAACTAAGATTGCACGAAAGATTGCTGGCTATGCCGATCGAAAGCTCAGGGTGGAAGCAAGCACGGAAGAAACAATGCAGAGAGTAAGTCATTCTGGCATTTCTGCTTTGCATACCATTGAGTCGTTCTTGTTAGCTTTGACCAATAGAGATTTGGACGGGAGGATATACTTCTCCACAACATCAGAGCTGGCCAAGAATGGAGAGAAGCAATGGTCATTGAAGTATCAATTGCTTAATCCTGCAGAAGTCTTCAGTGATATCGTAAAGGATGCTCGATCGGTTATTCTGGCAGGCGGTACTATGGAACCAATCTCCGATTTTGCCATGCAACTTTTTCCTGCCTTGGATCCTGAAAGGCTGACACACTTTTCGTGTTCCCACATTATACCGAAACAAAATTTAATGGCAGCAATTGTTTGCAAAACAGCAAAAGGTACACCTCTTTCGTTCCGATATGATGCTCGTGGCGATGCAACAATAATGGAAGAATTGACGGGTATGTTGGTCAATTACTGCAATGTTATTCCGCATGGTGTTGTTGTTTTTGTGCCTTCATATGGTTTCCTTGACTCGCTTCAAGAGCATTGGAAGACATCACCTCAATTTGTTCGCTTGAAAGCGAAGAAGCAAGTTTACTTTGAGCCCAAGACTGCCTCCGAGGTTGACACTGTGTTACGGGGATACGGTCGATCCATTGATCAGGATCAAGGTGCCATCTTATTCGCCGTCGTCGGCGCAAAACTTTCTGAAGGGATCAACTTTTCCGACCGCCTAGCCAGAGCTGTGATCATGGTAGGCATGCCATTCGCCAATATCAATAGCCCCGAATTGAAAGAAAGGATGAACTATGTTCGAGCTTTACACAAACAACAAAAGTCAGGCACTCTTTTGAAGCAAAAAGAGCACAAAACCGACTTTGACGCCGGACAAGAATTGTATATTAATTTATGTATGAAAGCGGTCAATCAAGCGATGGGAAGAGCGATCCGACATCAAAATGATTTTGCCGCATTGATATTTCTCGATAATCGTTATTCTCGACAGGATACAATCGCTAGATTGCCTTCTTGGATCGTAGAGTCGACAAAAGTGTACGATACGTTTGGCCCCTCGATAGGCGCTTTGGGGGCTTTCTTTCGTGCGAAGAAGACGGCACCACAAACTTAATTGTATTTTAGGATAATCCAATATCGTAGACTTCCGAGGTAGCCTCATAGAGTGACTGCACAAAGATATTCATTGCATTGTTGTCAAAAATACAGAATAGCCTCGTACGATCTCACTTATCCCTTTGTTCATTCTTGTGCCTTTGTTGAGGGCCCATGACGTTATTGAGAGGTCCTATGACCTTAATGAAATAAAGAACAAAGCTAGGCGTAAGCTGGTTTTGAAACTCGGGGCTAGAGTGCGTTTGCTGTTAGCCCCATACATAGCCTTTAAGCGTCACGGCATGAAAAAAGAGTTGTCCATCAGTACCCTAATCAATCAGCTCTTCTTTACACACGGTCCCGATTGTTGTTAAAATTGATTCTGTTAAAAGAGATTGCTACTCCCTTCCTGTTTCTTTACTCTTTACCATTTAAATCGTGTACCAGCGTATTCACTGGCAATACGCAATGTTAAGTCAAGCTGGAAGAAGCGATGCTTTACAACGCATACAGGCATCACTAGGGAAGAAGTATAGTGAGCATGGAAACGTCCGACAAGATTACTTGAGACGTATTGCCGATAAATTTCATCTTCCAGATCGAAGAATAGCTTATATAGCTCAAGCAGAATTGATGATAGACATCTTTGAAACAATTGAAAAAGGCAAAATAGGTGTTTTCGAAGTTCCAACCTCAGAAGAAGGAATGCTAAGCCTGATCTGCTCTCCCTGTCTTTGGTTCGAGGAACATTTGAGGATCAAGCCAGAGCTGAATACCTCAAAAGATCGAGCAGGATTACGTGAAAGTACATAAAACGGAAACACGAGAGATTGGATGAAGAGAAAATAAGCAAACTCTTTTCTTCAAATGGCGAAAGTGATAGCGAAGGCATTAATCAGCAAAAGGCGAACTGTAGTCGCTTAGTTGGCCCCCAACATTGCACAAATTGAGGAATGTAGCTTAAGTAACTATACGGCCTCATCCAACAGCCCCGAACCAACGGACGGAAACAAAGGACAAGGCTATAATCTCGAAAAGTGAGATTGTTTCCACTCTCCCACATTAATTCAAGTTGGTATTGTAACCCTAAAAGCCGATCGAGCACCTGGTGGTGGGTTGAATCGAGGTGGTGGGTTGAATCGATTTACACGTGGTCCATACGCCCCATCAATGATAGCTTCCGAAATTTGTTCACGTCGTGCTCCTTGTTGAACAGCAACCTGAACTAAAGTTGTAATTAAACCAATCAACACTCTTTTTCCTTTAGGGAGCTTACTGACCTTCGATTTATCGTTCCTATTGATCAGTATCGTCGAAAACCTTTAGTTCCTCAATCAACAAAAAGAGTGTTGATTGGTTTAATTACAACTTTAGTTCAGGTTGCTGTTCAACAAGGAGCACGACGTGAACAAATTTCGGAAGCTATCATTGATGGGGCATATGGACCACGTGTAAATCGATTCAACCCACCACCTCGATTCAATCCACGACCAGGTGTAAAACCATTGGTGTAAATCTATTAAACTCCGGCTAATCTTCAGCTTCAACCGCATATTAATATCACTAAGTAGCAATGCAAAAGAAAAAGCAAGATTGGTCGATGAAGTTGGTTCGAACACCGAGATACTTCCAAAATTGAAACTCATTTACGTTTGTCACTCACCTGATCGACTTAATCACTTTATCGAAAACTTCAATAAAACCGTTTACGCCAGAAAGAAATTTACGATTCATGAAGTCAAAGAGGATTTTCGCCTTCCTCTTGATGATGATGAACAAGTACAAGTAATCGTCATGTATTACGAAAATCTTTTGGATGCCGAGCTACTTGAATTTTTCAAAATTTCCTTTAGTGGCGCTATAATGATTCTGGACGAGGCATACAGTCTACCTGAATTTCTAGCAAGCGAGAAAAGTGTCGTTCTGATAAAGAAAAGGCTTGAATACGCTATAGGCAAATTACAAAGATATCTTTTGACCCCTTCTCATGGTTCCAAAACCGTTGATCTGGAATCGAGCAAGCTATTAAGAGTGCTACAGGATATTGACGATCATTGTTCGAAGATAATAGAGATAGTTTTTGAATCCGACAGTATACGAAGTAAGGAATTTTTAAACTCAATCGGTGGATCTATCGAACAAGAAGTATTGCGTGAGCTAGAAAGCTGGTATTATCACATCATATCGGAGTCAGTCCGAGACTTTGAAACACCGGATCAAGGACAAGTCAGCAAAGACTCTATCGAAACGATTCTACCCTTAATCAGAACATTCTTAAAAAATCTTATTCATCCGGCCTATGAAGGTATGATTCACATTCCGGATCCAACATATAGAAGTGAGGCAGCAAAAAATCATTCAAATGAGCAAGGTGAGAAGCAATGGTCTTTTGAATATCAATTACTCAACCTAGGAGCAGTTCTCGAAGGAATTATCGAAGAAGCCCGATCAGTCATTTTCTGTGGCGATGTACTGGCTCCGATGACGGATTTAAAGCTACAGCTCTTTCCATACATGAAGTGTACCAAGTTTAAGGTCAAGAGTTATCCGCCTTTCGTGTCCGATAAGAACTTCATGATCGGCTCGGTGAAGAATTATTCTCACAACATTCCGCTAAAGTACATCTACAAAACTCGAGAAGAGGAACAAAATATGCGACAACTACTCAAGATGATTATCGAACACTGCAAAGTGACTCCGGATGGTGTAGTGGTCTTTGTTACTGCGCACGATTATCTCAATTCTTTAAGATCATTTTGGTATTCTGATAAAGCTGAAGACTTGTTCACGCAGCTGGAGGATACCAAAAATGTCTTTTTTGATTTTACGGATGAATTAGTGTCAGCATCAGAGTTACAGAAATATAAAGAAGCTATTCGATTGCCATCAAGATCAAACACAAAGAAGGGAGTCATAATGTTTGCCGTAATAAATTCCCGGCTTTCAGAAGAGTTTGACTTCAGAAACAGACTAGCACGTACAGTGGTCTTTGTTGGATTGCCATTAGCATATGTGGGCGTTGAAATGAAGGAAAAAACAAAGTATATCGATAAAAATTGGGGTTCATCAAACGCAAATGCTTTTTTCAAAATCGAAGAAAGGTACCAGCCAAGGCCAAAGCCGGGTGAAGCATATTACATCAATCTGAGTACGAAAAGCATTCAACGTATAATCAGCAGGGTAAATGCTGATCCAAACGACTATACGGCTGTCCTTTTGCTCGATGAACGAGCGTTATAAAACGGCTTTCAGTGATTGGACTCACCCCTGTTTGGAAGAATGGAATAATCTCTATCACTCGGTGAAAGCTTTGAAAGCGTTCTTCAAGAAACAATCAAGATGATGTGTCAAGTTTCAGATGATATCTATTCTTTGTCTCTATAACTATCTCGTATTAAAGATCGGCATGACCTGGTTTGGCCTTGTCTGCGCTTGGGATAGTGACAAATAGAGGTACAGCAAGAGCATTTAATCGACGCAAAGGCCATGCGATGAAGTTTGCCGGTGGATCTTGGTGATCCCAACGATCTTGCATATGAATTACTTTTCCATCTTTGTTTAATTCCATACTGATGGTTGAAATGATTTCTTTTGTCCAACCTAAACCTTTGAATGTGTATGCGACTCGTTGAACATAATTGACTTGGGTTGGTTCATCTTTTGTGACATGCCAGGCCTTCAGGTCACATTTTGAGAAAGCGGCTGCTAAACCCCACCATTGACCTTTGTATTGACGTTCACCTTTAGCATAACAGAGTGGATCTTCAAACACCGAATCTGGGGTCCAACTACGTTTAAAAATCTCATGTGATGGTTTTGCACTAAAGAGATCTATCGAATCTTGAATGAGTTGTGTTGCTCTAGGCGAAACGTTTTCAACGTATCCTTCACCGTTTGACATCTTGCTTAAAGCAAATTTTGAAAATTGCGGTGTTGTTGAAGCTGCAGCCATGGAAGTTGAGAATGGAGAACAAGTTAGAACGGATTGAAATGCCAAGAGGGCGATAGGTGCTTTGGATAAGACGGTACGTTGATTGGCAATGAAGAACATATTGGAAGAATTGCAAAAGAAGGGAAAGGGATGAAGATGATGTAGTTTTATACACTTACCAAGGGTTATCGTTTTTACGTTGAATTGAACATGATGACATGAGAATCTGTAAAGAGCGAAAAGCTTAACAGCGAGAGTTGCATTTGATTGAGGAAGGGTACAAGCATACACACAATGCGTAAGCCTGTTGCCTCCACTCAAACACTCGCATTCGGGAAGTAGGGAAAAGAAAAGGAAGGGTGCGCGTTTAAAGCACTTCTAGTTCAGTAGTACGACTCGGTATTCGGGCAAATATGATTGCAAGCAAGATGCAAATAACATTATCACTTCTTATACCAACAACCACTTCGAGGGAGGGCTAGGATAGCCATGGCTGTTGATACTTTAGAATCGACACGCTCTAGGCCAGGCTCAGCTGGTGATCCACAAGGCACACCAACAATCTTGTCACACTTGCTGACACTACCATCACAAACCTTGATACGACTGTTCTCTTATCCATCAAATGCTTTGGCCATCTTTCGATTATTGCCGCCTATTGCAAGACATCTGATCTTCACCTTGCTCTTCCTTCCAGATCCACCTCATCTGGCTACCAGTGATGTCACATCTTTATTCACACGTGAGAGTGGATCGGTAAAAGAGGAAGAAAGTGGATCATCCAAACAAAAACGATCAGCAAGAGGTTTGCTTGCTTCAAAGGATGTACTGAGTCGATTGGGCATCATTCGTGAACAGAATGACAACGTCTACTTGAATGTCAAATGGACTGAATCATTGCGAAGGGCATTGATTGGAGGAGGCGATCATCAATCTTTTGGTGTTCCAAGTCATACACCCGCCGAACAGCGTCTCACACCTGCTCAGCTAGATGAATTCGCTTTGAGGAATTGGGAATCCATTTTGCTCTATATGGTGGCTTCAGAGGATGTACGAACACCAAGTAGACAAGTCCTGCATCTTTTGAGGTCGGCTGGATTAATGCAAAGTGCATCTACAATGGGTGAAGGAAGAGCAAGATCACAATCATCAAATGATCGTTTGAACGATTTGTTAATCACCTCAAAAGGTTTTCAATTCCTTCTTGATGATGTTTCGGCACAATTGTGGATGCTTTTGCATTCCTACTTGATCACTCTATCCGAATCAGCTTCATCGGAAGAGGCCAATACCACGTCAGACATTGTGGAACATCTTACGTTCTTGTTCACGCTGGGGTCTGCTACCTTGGGACAGGATTATGAGATTTCATCTTTGACAGAATCGCAACAAGAGATGCTTGACTTCTTTTCCGATCTTGGCTTGATTTTTAGACGGCGACAATCTAGCACGACATTCTATCCAACAAGATTGATTACCACTCTTACAAATGCCGGACAATTACCATTGCTCGGTAGCAGCAATACTGATGGTGATGATGAAAAAGGCTTTGTAATCTTGGAAACGAACTACAAAATCTATGCATATACCAATAATCCACTTCGGATCAATATTCTCAGTCAGTTCGTTCAAACTCGAGCAAGGTTTCCGAATCTGGTCACTGGAATCATTACGAGGGACAGTGTGAAAAGAGCATTGGATAAAGGAATTAGTGCAGAACAAATTATCATGTATCTAACCCATCATGCACATCCACAAATGTTCAAGAATAATCCGCTTCTACCCGTAACAGTAACGGATCAAATTCGATTATGGGAACGTGAAACTAATCGTGTTCAACCGGAAGAAGGTGGAATGTTGTCCGGTTTCATTTCAGGTGCCGATTTTGCACTTGTACGAGAATATGCCGAACAGATGGGCGTTTTGATGTGGCATGATGCTGATTTACGCAAGATGTTTGTCACTTCCAATGGAATACAGCCTATCCGTGATTTCATCGAACGTCGTGTTGCTGCTGAAAGATGAGTTTGCATTCAACAATATACTCTGTACCAGTATTAGCCACTTTGTATTATAGCAATTCAATCGTAAATCATACAATTTAGTATAGTACATCTGTATCGAAATCATAGCCGTTCCACCACCAGATTGGCTGGCACGTCGCGTATTGCTCCGTCATCATCTTCAAATTCGAGTTGGTAGGGTGTATTGAGAATCTCATCTGCCCTTCTCATCATCTTTTGGGTTACCTTTCCGTTCAAGCCTGGTCCGCCACCTCTAACGATAGCACGGTAAAAGCAAGAAGTGTCAGGATACAATCCCAAAACGTGTGTTCCCACTTTATAGTCATCCAAAGGAAGCGTGTTGAGGTTTTCCGGTAGTGGAACAACAGCTTTCAAGGTTGTGTTGTACGTTGGCATTCCTTCATCTTCGTCATCTCGAACAACGTATCGATTTCTGTCATTATTAATGCATTCGATCACAGTTGCCATGATCCAAGTTTCACCATCATCTTCCATTCCAGCAGCAGAAGAAGGATCTCCACCCGGTCCGCCTCTAGCTGAAACATTTGCAGCTCCCGGTCCAACTTTATTTTTACTCGGTTGTCTGAATGCAACCTTTCTACCTTTTTGCAGGGGTAATTGATGTGCCAATGTTTCTCTTCGTGCTTTTGCAGGATCAATGTATCCATCCTTTCCTGCGCCTGTGCTTGTGCCGGGGCCATCTCCTGATGCGGAATCTTTACCGATCGAAGATGCCGTCAATCGTCTTGCCATTGGACCTGCTCCTGTACTTCCCGTTCCACTGCCTCCAGATTGTCCCTTCGTATGGCTACGTTTGCGATCCTGTCCGGATGCAGGTACGGTATCACCTTCGACAGATAGAGGCGACATTGCTCTATCCTTTGCGCTGATCGAAGCAGCCTGTAGGGTAGGTGAGATCGAACCAGCGTCCAACCTTCTCTTTTTCCGTTTCGACGATAGTGGATCAATAGCCGTTGAAAAGCTACCATCATCTCTAACAGCCAATAAAACTTCCAATTTTTCCAACGCACGACCGATCTCTAACTGTTCTTCTTCTAAGTCACTCTGAACTTTTTTATAATGACCAATCAAGTCATTCTTTTCTCCATCATCAACGCTCGCACTTGATTCTCTACTGTTTGCGTATTCTTTTACGTATCTTTGTCGCCTTTGATCTAGTGTTGTGACATCATTTATCGATGTGGATTGTAGTTTCTCTAGTGATCGTAAATGAGCCCGGACTGTCTGCCATAATTGTTGTTCTGCAAGGAGAATGCCTATGTGTCAGCCTCTTCCCTACAATCAGCCCCGCCTTTTTTTACTCTACTCACCATCCGATCCTGCCACACTTCCACGTTCTTTGCGTATTCTTGAAGACATTCTTTATGAACACGCACGCTTATGTTGCCGTGATGATGATGATGGTGTGTGTTCTTAGGATGCATGCACTGCACTAATTTACATGGAAAGTCTAAAATTGGAAATTGTTCCAAGGCACACGCACACGCACGTCTGCCGAAAAGTGTTGTTTGTGTCAGTCAATACGTGGGGAGAAAATAGGCACACACACATACACATAATGTACAATGCACACGCGCGTCTTTGCTATATAATAAGGAACAATCAAACGATGAACATCAATTTTATCCAATTCATTCTTCGGGTATGCTTATAAACTGGATACATTCAAGTTGACTTGTGATAAAGTCAAGATGGGCTAGAAATCCAAAATGAGCGAAAGAGAAATTCACGATTCATTTATTGCTTGGTGGCACCTTTGACAGCACCTTGAGCTTGAGCGCTCAAATCACTTGCAGTCTTTTGTGCATTTCCAGCCAATTCGCCAGCTTTCTTTTGTGCATCAGTAGCAGCGGCAGAGGCATCATTTTGAGCACCGCCAATAATTTGAGCGGCTTGATCGACGTATTGAGAAGCAGTTTGACGAGCGTTGTTCAAACCGGATTGAGCTTGTTCGGCTGTTTCTTGTGGTTTAATGTATTCGTTTGCACTGTTAAGAGCATGTCCGACAAACTGACGTGCTTGTTCGGTCAAACCTGCTAAACTTTGTTGAGCTTGTTCGGCTTGTTGTTGACCTTCTTTTGCTGCACTGTTTGCGATTTGAGATGCATCTTTTGATGCTTGATCTGCTGCATCTTGTGCTTCTCCTGCTTTGTTCTTTGCTCCTCCCAAGTATTGTTGACCGGTTTGGGTTGCGTAATTGTAAGTGTCACTTAGCAATTTTGCACCTTCTTGATAAAGGGATTGACCTTGCTTTTGAGCTTCATCAGCAGCGTTTGATGCGATCTTTTGAGCATCGGTAGCAGCTTTGTTAGCTTGTGTGGATAAATCTTGTTGGTTAGACATTATGATAAAAGTGTTTTGATTAAACAGATGATGGAAGTGAGAAGAAAAGGATGTAAAGCATGGACCTTTTTAATAATGACGATTCAATCGATTCAACATCGGCAAGATGAGCGCACGTACTCTTGTTTTCTAGTTTGCTCACTGCCCCTTTGCCCTCTCAATGCTTTCAAATGCTTAATCTTCCATTCCCCAAAATGTTGAGCATATACACTGTGTGGAACGAGTGAATGACTTGTGTGATCCATAAGGTTTGCATGTAATTTTAGCGCTATAAACTCCACTTCCAAGGTGGGAATTGGAGAAAGCAGGGCGGGCGATTGACAAGTATTCCCGTTTACAATGTGTGTTGTTGTGGCTTCAATTCAGCCCGGCGCGTACAAGTAGTTTAGTTTAAAGCTCAGTCCTTTCAACCTCTGCAGAATGACGCAATTTACCTATCAAACAAGTTCATTCTTTTCATTAAGAGCTTTTCATCTTTGAACTTTTCCCTTCACAGCCTTCATTGAACCCTAATTCGATCGAATCGGGGAACAATTAGGGTGGAAAATCAGCTTATTCGCTCTGCTTGCACGTGTAAGTCGAGAAGATGATGCAAGATGAACAAGTTGAAGTCATATGACGATGAGGAGGAAGATGACCGGACAGCCAAACGAGAAGGGGCAGTGACAACTACAGATTTATCATGGCTCGCTCCACCACCGCGAAAGGTGAACGGCATTCTCGATCATGAATGGGGTTTGGGCAATGAAACATCTTCTAGAGAAACAGGTGAAGGACCAAATGCATCCTTGACAGCAAAGCTAGCCCACTTTCACGAATTGAAACAGAAAGGAACGCATTTCAATCAATCATTAAATAACAATCGATCGTTTCGCAATCCGCACATCTATGCAAAGTTGGTGGATTGGATCGGTGTAGATGAGAATACGAGTGGATTTGCACAGCTTTCACGCAAAGAGGGCAAACCGGTTGATAGACAAGAAGCTGAAAAGGTATGGTCTTCAACTTCAGAAGCGAGAAAAGCACTCAAGAAACAGGCAGGCGCAGAACGAATAGCGGAAATGCAAAAGAGACAACAGGAAGAATCAGATAAAGCAAAATTGCATAAAAGGAGAGAAAAGATTGACTTTGCTCCTGCCTCTTCCTCTCGAGAACCGGACAGGCATGAAAGTGGCAGCAGACATCATTCAAGTGAAAGCAGCAGACGTCGTTCAAGAGATGCTGAGCGATATCGAGAATCACACCGTCATCGAGATCGAAGGGATCACAGAAGGGATTGATCCGTCTTCATGTATAACATTGTAATCTATCCTATTCGCATCTAATATCATTTACAGCTTTCATCGCCCTCTCACTGACCGTACCATGGCAAAACAAATTGGATGCTCTCCTTTGCTTCTTTGGATACCAATTCTGGCTTGGTCATAATGGAGAATCGCATGCCATTTTGTGCGTTCTTATATGCTTGACCTTCATCTTCTACCAATTTAGCAACAGGCTCCAATAATGCTTTGAGAACGGCATGAGAGTTCTTGACGTTTTCTTGCAATGATTTCATCACTTCTGCCACATCCACTGCACCTTCTGATTCACGCCAAGCATCATAATCGGTCGAGGTTGCGATGATAGTATAGGACAATTCGGCTTCTCTTGCAAGTTTGGCTTCGGGCAAAGCAGACATATTGATGATATCACCGCCCAATTGTCTGTATGCCAAACTTTCTGCTCTTGTTGAAAATTGTGGACCTTCCATTGCGACCAAAGTTTTCTTTCCGTGTGTCTTGACTTCTGGAGCAAGTTGAGACAATTCTTTACGTACAACATCTTCCACGACCGGACGCAAAGTTTCATCAAATGGATCACCAAAAGTAGCATGTGCAACGATACCGGATTGATCGCCTTCACCAAAGAAGCTTGCTCTTCTGACGCCTTTTGTACGATCAATAATTTGCGAAGGAACGACAAAATCTCTCGGGGCAACTTCTTCACGTAAAGAACCAACTGCCGTAAATGCAATCACTGCACGAACGCCAATATGTTTCAAAGCACTTATGTTTGCCAAAGAAGGAACTTGAGAAGGTGAAATGAAATGACCGATTCCATGACGTGCCAAAAAGGCAACATGAACACCCGAAGATGTTTTTGCAATCGTGATTGGTGATGATGGCGGTCCCCATGGAGTAATTGGATTTAATTCTTGTACAACTTCTAATCCATCCAATTTGTATAAACCACTACCACCAATCACACCCACACGTACAGGCGGTCCTGTCCATGTTGGCGTTTTTGCAAACTCTCTTGTGGCTTGATTTGGAGTGTATACCATCTTGATTGATCTGACAGGTAAGTGAATCGAATGTCTTGGGATGACGATCGAACGGAAAGAGAATAATTTGGAAGACAGGATGAATGAAAGTTGAATCTGCAAGATAGATCGTGTGCACGTTGCAAATCCAACTTTATTTCTTCTAAAATCCGAAAGATTACAACAATTTTAGCGCGCTTTAAGAGAATGCTCACAAGAATCAAAAAGATTGCGTGCTATTGTTTCGTTCGGCAAGGCGGGCCCCGTTATAGCTACTATGCCTTCATCACTTGTCAAGCCTCTCAATCATTGATATCGGCTTGATCAATTTCATCAGAGTCTCAAGCAGAATACAGAAATATGATCATGAGGATACGATCGGTGTGAGTGCCCATATAGAGGTCTGTTCAACAAACAAGAAGAATGACAAGAGAGCTACAGAGTGCATACACGCTAGTCACCTGCATTTACTCTAATCAAACGAGTGGAGTATTCTCTACAACAACTTCTTCCTCTTGTCAACATCACACAGTCCAGCCCAAGATGACCTTATTTGCAGTGGCAGACTTCTGCTTGATTCCGATGGGTACACCATCACCATCAGTAGGGATCTATATCGCCGAATGTCAACGTGTATTGGAAAAGATGAAAGAAGAGGGGATAAAATATGAAATGCAGTACGTATGCACTTGTTAGTTTTGAAGGAAGTTTTGTGCTGACCATAATTACCTCATGACTGAATTGCAGCGGATATGGTACAAATCTAGAAGGACCTTTTGATGTTGTCTCTCGTGCGATAGAAGCTTGCCATGAAGCAGTTCATGCTATGGGTGTACGTCTCCGTCAGCTAATCTCATACGAAGAATCCTGATACTGACACTTTATTCTTCCTTTCAGATCCCACGCATTGCAACAGATATCAGAATAGGCACTCGAGTCGATAAGCCGGATAAAGAGCAATGGGCAGATGGATTGGGCGAGAATGAACGTAAACGAGAGAGCGTTCGTCGAACATTAGCAAACAACACTCAACAGCAGTGAATAAGGATCTCATTTAATGTACAATATGAACGAAAAAAAAGAATATCTACACAATTCAAACCACCAACGTTGACCCCGCCGCCCTTTGCACTTCACGTAAAATTTGCTCTCTTCGCTTCTTTTGACGTTCTCTCGAGCTCCCTAAGCCGTTTTGCGTTTCTGCTTCTTGCTCTTGCTCTTCTTCCTCCTCTCCTTCGACATCAGCGCTGTTGTTATTTCTCATGCATATATCCGCAATGAAAGATGCGGCAGCCGTTTCACCAATTTCCGCTTCTGCTCGGGATCCCCATCGAAATTCAAAATCTTCCACAGCATCAGATTCGCCGTTACGTGTACGCTTCACATTTCCTCTTGCTTGTGTTCGTCGACGGGCCATACTTGCATCCATAGAAGCAGCATTTGTGGCAGCGGCATTTTGTACCTTTGTTCGTTCCAAGTAATCTTGTTTGACAAGACTGGCCAAAAAGTCGTCTAACATGACTCCGTCCGAATCTCGTCCTGCCAAACCTCCTGATGCAAGTTCAGGATGTGATTGTAGAGATTCCGGCAAAACACCTTTGAGTCCCATCCTTCTAAGATAGGAACGCAATTGATCCTCTGGCATCACACGATTGTTCACAAGTACCAATGCCAAGATAAGCATAGTAAGTCCAGTCTTGCCCAAATCGGCATTGGAACGTTTCCAATCAAGCAATACTCCCTCAGTACCAGAAACATTGCCACGATTTCCACCAACTGTATAATCTGGTACACTGCCCAAAGTGGCACTCGGTTGAGTGATGCGAGAAATGAGCTTGCTAGGAAGCACAGATACCAGCACATAAGACTTTGACAGTACACCTTTCACCTTTGGATCCTTTTCGTCTTCTTTTTCCGGATCGCGCCTTCGTTGTGTTTGTGCTTGTGTTTGAGCGAGCAAGATTTGTTCATTATCTGTACCTCTTGCACGCAATTCCACCATTTCGTAGCCAAAAGACGACCTCAAGACCTTTTGAGCCTGATTGAAGACTACCGGGAAAATCTTTGACTTCTCTTTGTTGAAAACTTTGATAGAAATATCACTTCTGCGCAATGGTGTTCTACGCAATTCAGAAAACAAAGCCAAACGTGCAAGATCATTGGCTTTACGCTTGATACCTTCTTTCCCTTCTTTGTCCATCGCTTGTACCATGTTCCTCATGGCGTCGCTTACAGGAAGCTTTTCTCTTTCCCTGAGTCCAGTGACATTAGCCTCTCCATCACTGCCATCATCATCCTCACCTCCATCTCCTTCGCCTTCGCCTTCTGCCTCCTCCTCATCCTCACCTTCTTCCTCTTCATTTGGAGTCTCTTCTGTACGACGTCTGCCATTTGATGATTCTCCTACTCGTCTACGCCTAGCTGGTGGCTCTTCCTCTTCCTCCTCCTCCTCTTCTTCTTCTTCTTCTTGAACTCTTGAACGCGGCCGTCTTCCATTAGTGGAACGTCCAAAGTGACCAGTACGGCTAGTTGAAGCAGACTGGTTGGACGAACCAGCTCTTCCCGTATCTCTCGTACGTGCTGGCATTATTGATGGTATTTGGTGGCTATGGTAGGAAGAGAGGAAGAGAATCGTATCACTTTGAGCTCAATACAAAAGACCAACACTGAATGCATGCTTGATTGACGCGCTGACACCTCACCTATTTACGCGTATGAAAAAAGTACAGATTATCTAATCACGCTTTACAAGAACTTATCTTGGGAGAGGAATCAGAGACACACACTCAAAGTATACTGCGAGATGAATGACATTGAACTGGGTAACACCTTCAACGCAATCTATGCATCAAAAAGAGTACCAATCATACAGACAAGCAGCAAAAAGGGGAAAGACGTACAAGACGTGAAAGAACTATACGCTTAAGCGCTGAGGATAGTAACTTCAACTTCCACTCCAGGTTCGAGGGAGATGGAGGTGATTTGCTTGACGATCTCACTGGGAGAGTGCAAGTCAATCAAACGTTTGTGAATGCGGAGTTCATAACGGTCCCAGGTCTTACTACCTTCACCACATGGAGATTTACGGGTGGTGTGGTTCAAAACCTTGGTAGGCAAACGGACTGGGCCCTTGACGTGCAATTGCTTGTCCTTGCTACGGGAGACCAAGTCAGCGCAGACTGTAGAGTGAAAGTGAAAAGGTCAGTATTGATGCATCATCACTAATTATATTTTCCTTCTTGCTACTCACCCTTTTCCAAGTTCTTCACGTTCTTGCTTGTCAAAGTGATGCGGATCTTGTGGATCTGAGGTGCAGGAGCACTAGCATCAACATCTTTGTCCTTGGCGACGTAGCTCATCTTGATTACTTTTTACTTTTATGGTGAACCAGCGGTGACCAGGGTGTAAACGAATTCGTATTGCGTTTGGTCGTAACAGAAGATTTGATGGCTTGGGAAGTTTGGATTTTTACCGCCTTTCTGCGCGCGCGAGCTGTTAAAGTGCACAATTGCCTTGCGTAACTTCTTGCATCTGCGAGAGGCAACCTCACGTGCTTAGGGATCAGTACACGTGATAGGAAAGCCTGTCAGAATTTCCAATCAATTATGAATAGAACAACGCGCCAATTGCTTTAACGCGTAGAAGAAGCGCGTTGTGCATACTTTAAAGTGTGTTACTTTCCAACAAATAAATGCGTCATATGGCTCGGATCCCTTGATTGGATCATTGACACAGACAACTATCATATGACCCAACATGTCTGGATCAGGCCTTCGAAGTATGAAGAGGACCTGGTCCGCTCATTCAAACGATCTGGAAAATGATGGTTCGGGTGTTATCGGGTTAAAAGCGCAAAATATGGCATCTCTCAAAAGATCTGCTCAGCAAGACTCAAAATCATCAGCATACGGTGATGTAAAGAATACCACCAAACCTGTAGATTACGATTATGATCAGGAATTTGAGGAAATTTCATTCTCGGAATTCCAGACTCCGCCAGAGAAGAAAGAACAAAAAGGACAACAATCAAATCCCACAGGCAGCCCATACTCTTCCACTTTCATCACAGCTTCTGAACTTGTACGCAATGGAGGGATGAAAGAGGAAAGCAAGTCCGCATATAACCAATCATCTTCCAGTTCAAAGCGGATCGAAAGCGAGCATCCAGCTCAAAGTTCAACAAAGAGACAGCTTACCGACTCTTTCCGTCACCCTGGCTCTCGCGATGAAGGATCTAAGAGGACGAATTGGACAAAGTCTGCCAGTGAATTGCTCTCAACCAAGGAAGGACGACTGAATTTCTTCATCAAGGGTACTACCTCCAAACCAACCGCAGGGTCTACATCATTACAGCATGAGACCAAAAAGGATCTTGCAAAAGTGTTCTTATCTCGAGAGCAACAGGCAGTGTATGATCTCGTGGTAGACAGAGGACAGAGTTTGTTCTTCACCGGAAGTGCAGGAACGGGAAAATCAGTTTGCTTGCGAGAGATCATCAAAGGCTTGCGTCGAAAATACGAACACAGAGCTGATGCGGTCGCAGTGACAGCTTCGACCGGTATTGCAGCCTGTAATATCGGAGGTATCACACTGCATGCATTCGCTGGAGCAGGTCTATGCAATGAAGAAGCAGATAAGCTCGTTTCGAAAATTCGTAAAAATCGCAAAACCTCTGCTCGCTGGATGCGAACCAATGTGTTGATCATTGACGAAGTATCCATGATTGCGCCTGAATTTTTAGACAAACTCGAAGTGATTGCCAGAAATCTGCGCAAATCTGCAAAACCGTTTGGTGGTATGCAAATCGTTATGACTGGAGATTTCTTCCAATTGCCGCCGGTAAACAAGAGCAATACAATGACAAAGTATGCATTTGATGCCCGTTGTTGGGCTGAGCTATTTGGTGACGATAGTCAAGTGAAGCTTACGCAAGTATTCCGTCAAAAAGATGAAAGCTTTGTGAATATGCTCAATGAGCTGCGTTATGGTACACTGAGTCCGGAGACAACTCGGCTCTTCAAGTCACTGGAACATGAAAGTGATCTTCAAAAGTCTACAGGTATGGCACCGACAATTCTATTCCCAACTCGTATGGAGGTCGAGCGTGCTAATGCTATGGAATTACTGAAGATCAAAAGACCTCACAAGACATTTGATTCTGTCGATGGCGGAACTTTGCCACCTGATATATTGAAGAAGAATTTAGACAATTTCATGGCTCCGAGTAAGCTCAATCTTAAAATGGGCTGCCAAGTGATGCTGATCAAAAACACAGATGTCGAGCTTGTGAACGGCTCGATTGGAACTGTATTGGCATTTTGTACTACCCAAGAGTTCCAAGAATCCCAATTCTCTGGATTTGATTGGGATGCGGTCGATCCAATGAAGATGACAGAAGAAGAGGTCAGGGCAAAGATTCATTCCACATACGTTGAAGTTCGCAACGAAGAAAGGGAATCTGATCGACTTGACCAATTTGAGTACGATGGAGGCGAGGAAAGAGCGTCAAGCAAGAGTGTTAAGAAAGAGAAAGATCCTGCTGCTGCTCTTGCCCGAGCGGAACTTGATCGAGCGATCAGAAGGGCAGAAAGTCGGGAGCGTTCCAGATCTGCATCTCCTGACAGACCAGAACCGCCACGCTTTCCAGTAGTTCGCTTTATCTTGACGGGAGGCTCTTCCCACAAACGCTTCAGAACTGCTCATGTTCTCCGGGAAACATGGACCAACGAACAGCCAAATGGTGAGATCACTTGCAGTCGATCGCAAATCCCGCTAATCTTATCTTGGGCTATGTCCATCCACAAATCTCAAGGTCAGACTTTACCGCTTGTCAAGATTGATTTGAATAGAATATTTGAAAAAGGGCAGGCCTATGTTGCCCTCTCTCGTGCGGTTTCAAAAGAAGGTTTACAGGTTCTAGGATTCGATCCTAAAAAGGTGAGGGTGGATAATAGAGTAAGTCAATACTACAGCAATACATTGGCTACGATCAACAAATGAGCAAAAAGCGTAATAATCTCACACAGACGGAACCTATTGGCATTATTTAATTTCATTCACATTCACGGTTCACGAACAATATTGTATATTACACAGCTTCATAATTCAATCAACCTTCCCATCTTCCACGTACCACAGAGCGCACTTTATCAATAATGCTAAGTTGATATTTGATTAAGTGTGTAGTAGTACAAGTATAGAGCGGCTCTCCTCTGTTTTCTTAGTTTGCATGATTTACATGGATTGGTGTAGATGTTCCTGAGCCAGGTGTTCCGATATTAGGTGTTCCAGGATTAGACGAGTCGCCCACAGCATCTTCATCAACATTTTCACCCAACAATTCCAAAAAGTTCTTTTTTCTTGCTTTGTTTCCTCCTGCTTTTTTGATCAGATAATCTCGTAATCCAACACGCAAATCTGGTTGTTTTTCTACAACATCTCGTAATTGTTCACGTGGCAATTGGATAAGAGCACTGAAGGAAGCTGGAGCAGTTTGCTTGGCACAAATGATGAAACCTTCCCACAATAAAGGTTGTTGCCAAACTTTTTTAGTGATCAATCTTGAAAGGAAAATGGTAGAAATGTAGGAAGAGAGTGATTTATACGTTCTAACGGCAATGATTGCCGTTCTCATGAACAATACGGGCAAGACCGGTTCTTCAATCAACAGATTGAGAACCGCACCAATCACTTCACTACGGAAAATATCCGTCATACCGAAACAAAGTCGAATCGCATCTGCTGCCGTCTTTCTGCCAATTTCAGGTTCAGCGTGATGTAATAAGCTCATCAGCTCCACTGGCGAAAGAAGTTCAGATTGACGGACACGTGGTAAATTGGTAGAAACACTTCCGAATCCTTGTTCTGGCGGTTGAACGACTGATGTGAAAACGTTCTTGAGCATCAAGCGATCCTCTTGCTTGTCTGAGCTTAAGATTGACACGACACGTGGGAGGTATTTGATAATTTCCGCTTTTTCCAAATCAGGTAAGATTGGAATCAAGAAGCGAGGATCGATCTCATTCGCATTCTCTTCTGCCATTTGCTTGACCATATCGACCATCTTTTTACTCCTTTGTTTGCTTCCCAGGATTCCAAATACAATCACTGCGAGCGAATCAGCAGCGGGTGGATGATGTTGAATGAGATGAAGAAGCTTACTGTTATTCGAGCCAAGATTTTGTACGAGTGGCTTGATGTGTGTTTCAACTGCTTTTTGTACTTGTGAAGGCATTTCTGCATACGCATTGAAGACTTCATCCAACATTTCAGGAACACGAACGCATAGTGCAAAGGGTAATTCAACCAAACGCAAGACGTCATCATCCGTTTGAATTTCGGCATTTGGGTCATCGAGTACGCTCTGTTGCTCTTCAGCTTCGGCCGTGGCGCTTTCCTCTGCTGCCTTTGTTGAATCTTCATTCGCATGTCCATTTTGTCCCGCATTCGAATCTCCGTTACTGACAGGCTGATTTTTGACTGTCAATCGCTTTAGGCCTGCTTTGGCAAACTGTAGGACATCATTCTCCAGCACATCTCCTGCTGGACTTTTTCCCTGCCCATTGGCTCTGACCCAATTCCTGACCGTAATGATTGCCGCTCCACGAACCATCTTTTCAACATTTCTGGCCAAGCCCAAAAGATAAGAACAAATCATAGTTCGGGCAGGAACACGATGAATGGCCAAATCACGCAACATGGTGAATCCTGCGGCCATTTTCGTTTTATCCAAACAGAGTGATTGAATCGTTGCAATAACTGAATCTGTCAATTGCGGTATTCTGCTCAAAAATTCGTACAAAGTTTTGTCTTTTGAATCCATTTTTTCAATCACTGTTGCTGTGATTTTTTGTAGCCAAACTGAATAAGATGATTCTCCTTCTTCAACCAAGATTCCTTTCTTTTTCAGTAAAAGAATACAATGAAATTCTTCTGCGATCCACTGTAAAGCAAATTCGACCCGATGTGCAAAATCTTCTAGAATAAATTGAAGCATCAGCTCGCGAACTGCATCAGACTGTTGCTTCAATGATACTCTTTTCTCCTCCTTGCTTTCTTCTGATGAGTCTGCATGCTCGTCAAGGCCACGTGTCGCCAAGCGAGTGATTAAAACAGTCCATAGTTGTGCGTGTGGCAATTGATTTCCGCCTGCTGCTACTTCCATAGTTGTGACGTCCTCTGCGTTTTCACTTGCATTCGTTCGAATAGCTGCTTCTCTTACTCCGACCTGGCAAATACGTTCAACCGAAGCATTGAGTAAGGCGATTCGATCTTCTACTTTCAGTTCTACAGGTGCTTTAAGTGCAAATGTGGACGAGTTCAAATTGACCATCGTTCCTGCATCTCCATCTTCAGCAGTCGCTTCTTGTAATTGTCTCTCAGCGGCTTCCATCGTTTCTTCTTCTCCCATATCTAACTTCAAAGGATCTTGTGCTTCTAGTGGTACTTCTTCTGTCGCATCTTCTTCCTCTTTCTTTACGCTCGACGGAGGGCGTGACGGTGGTGGGCCAGGAGGCGGACCTGGCGCTGCAGGTCGTCCAAAGGTAGACTTTGGCTGACCATTGATTCTAGCACGAGCTTCGGCGATGACTTGTTCCAGTTTTGCTTCTTCAATGGATCCTAAGTTGGCCAAAATCAGTTCTACGACGAGCGGGAGAGGAAGCGTGCTTGCATCAAAGCTTGCCATCGGATTTCTATTGACAGCTTCAGGATCTGCAAGAAGCATAGGGTCGCCTTGAGAGCTGGCATCCTGTATCTGGTTCATAGCTCCCACGACACTGTTTTGGGCATTAGCAGTAGGATCTGCAAAAGGAACAGGCGTTGATTGTTCGCTATTCTCTGCCTCAGATCCAGTAAAGCGAACATGTTTCCTCTGCGCAGCAGGTGAATTTGGATCTTCATTTTCTTCAGAAGTGATGCCTCTTTTACGCAAAGAGGCTTCCCTTGCCTTCCTTGCTTCTTCCTCGCGAGCGGCCGTTTCCATTCGCATCTTTTGATTATCCACCGCTTCGATGATTTGAGAGGCATATGCGCCTGCCAAAGAATTTCTATTGGGATGAAAATGCTGGTAAAGTAGCTTGAGTGTCTTTTCTACGCTTCGTACAGTCATGTATGGCGAGCCTGATAAAGCTGAAGGCGACCAACTAATCAAAGCTTCAAATACGATCGGGCTCAAAGACGGTCTCAACTTGGCCAAGGAAGACAAACAATTCATCGAAGCCATCACGAGGTCTGCTATCGAACTTGTAAAGATGATTGTGACAATTTGTGTTAGTCTCTCGTTGGCTTCTTGCTCCAATGCTCCCGCTCGAAGAACTGCGTGATCTGGTGGAATGTGTGCCAAATTAGCATCTGCAGCGGATCTGCTGTTCACATGTCCACGAGAATCGGATGCTCTAGTTTGAACCAAGATGATCTTTTGGAAAGCCTTTACAGCGGCCAATTTGATTCCAAGATGATGCGGCATTTCAAACATTTGTACAATTCTTTGCTTGATTGCCTCAACCGTATGCCATAGCCTTGCTTGGGTTGGATCTGTACAAATAAGTCTGAACAATGGTTGATATACACTTGCAAAAGCGGTAATTGCAACTTTTGCATATTGGGAGTCCATTTCATTGAGCAAGGCTAGAATTGGTTCAGGCATATGGTAAGCGAGCGAACTACGAGCTTGTGGTCCTAATGTCGGCTTGCAAAATGTTAAATCGATCACTTCTACTATCCATTTCTTTAACGAAGGGCTTGCTTTGTGTAATATAGACAACAAGCTGGGAAACAGTGGTGGAATGTTGCCTGGTTGTGATTGAAAGAGGGTGAACAATTGTCGTAAATTTCGTTCTTCTGTCTTTGCATCCTGTGCCTGAAGCGCAGCTCCAAGTAGAGCCAAAGCATCAGGTTGTTGTCCTTGCTGAGTTGAGTCTGCCATTGTGAGAATGATCTTTTGGCGAAAGCAGGATGAAGGGTCGCGAATATGTTTTTTATTTGAACGTCATCTGCGGGTTCTCAATCGTGATGTACTGGTTTTGTGAGATACGAGAAGGCTTGGCAAACGATCTACCTCGAATCTGTTATCAAATGTCACTTTCACAGCCGAATCTCACGCCATCCAACTTTACACTGCCGCAGCTTCAAGCTGAGTGTCAAAGACGGGATCGGTCGCGTTCTCGGACGAGGAAGAGTAATGCACGAAAGTATGTCTCGATTTGGATGGAGTTGACAGCTGTGAGTGATTATGATGGTAAATGAACCTTTTTTCTTTATTTTTTTGTTCAGAAGCTTGGCTTTAAATTGACACTTGTAACATCGGCTAAAGGGACACACGCAGACTCAGACGACCGCGTTGTACGCCCAGGCACAAAGCAGCTTCTAAGCAAAAGAAGAAGAGCACGGAGAAGCGCGTTTAGCCCTGCGTGGCATTCCACTCTCATTGCCAGAATCCAACATGCTATACGATGGTGATCAATGCAAATGGCGTACAGTCCGAAATGATCAGGATCTTAACATACATGCTAGTATTGCGCAATAGTATGCGAATGTATTCTTGCCCCCGTTCTTATCAATGAAAGCACTGCCATGAATGCGCAAATCATTGCTGACAAAACTGTCATTCACAGGTTATTGTACGCACGAGTCTCGGTCGACTTTCGCTTTTCCAACGTCTGCCTTCGGAGCTTGGTCCCCGTGGTTAAAGGTTTTCTGTTATGGCTGTGAAATTTGTAAGATCCTCGGGTCAAAATGACTCGATCAAAAGGCGATAGGGGCCAAAGGAACGTTTACACAGGATTTTCAATTTTCAAATTGTTCGTAAAAGGTATTTAAGAAGCTCTTTGTTTTTTCTTTTCTTCTTTTTCATCATCAAAGATATCGCAAACCTAACATCAATCTCAATCATGGTTGCATTCTTCTCTCATAGCAAACTGCCATATGTCTTGCCCTACATAATTGCTTCAATGATCCTTTCAGCATATACCGCACCTGTTATGCAAAGTACCACAAAGCTCATCAAAAGGGGTGACTTCTTTCTTCCTCCTCCTAATTACGCCTCAAATGGTAATTATAACACTCCAAAGTATCGCTCTGACACTCCTGGCCACACACATAGATCAGCAGCACAATCCAACCAGCATCATTCAGAAAGAAGTTCACAAAAGGCACATTCATCAGCCCAACCTGCCAAAAGTCGATGGACAGGATTAGAAGAAATGAATAAAACTTCTTTAAAGAGAACTGGATCACAAGAAAACGTGTGGTGGCAAGGAAGTAGTCATGGAAATGAAGGGGGCCATAAACGTAAAAAGAACGAGTATAATTTCCGTAGTGCAAAATGAATCATTGCCAGCAAAAGAAGAATGCGTATTTGGTACAAAAATGCCAATGGACAATTTATCTCGAGCTTCAATATGTTTTCATCGTTTATGTGTATGATTATCCTATTTCCAATACCCAAATAGAATGTTCATCTCCTATCCTCTCTCCCTTTATGACTTTTTGTACAGCATGTCCTACTGAATGAATGCGTCTTCTCAATGATGGATGGCGTCGGCGCCTTTTTTAGGGGGCCAAACGATTGTATTTTTCAAGGCCCGACGCCAAGCATAAGAGGCTGCAGTTTAAATTGCCGATCATTGTTTTAAGCTCACACAGCCATTAGAAATTTATTAGCGCCGCGTGTATTGGAATTGCATTTTTGTATTTCTACTTCGGAGCGCACGTACCGTTTCCACTTAGAAAACTTACACACACATAGATGAACAATCCTTCCCTTTTGACCATCAACCTGCCCAAGTAAACTCTCGCTATGCCTCCTTCTTGGCTGAATAGGCTCTCGCTCGATCCTCATCATAATCGATCACAATTACCCGATCTTGAACATATAGATTGGTCAAGAGGATTAGCAAACACAGGTGTTGGAGGAACATTTGCCGAAGGATTATTATCGACATCGAATATTGCACTACATGGCGAAATATGTGCATTGGCAGTAGAGCCTGTATTGGGATACTTGGCAGTGGGCACAACACAAGGTAGCATTCATCTTTTCGGAAAAGAGGCCGTTCAAGTAGATTGGACTTTGAGGCCGGCAAATAAGGTTACACATCTCCTATTCAAAAGTGGTAGTCCTTTACTCATTGTCATCGATGTCAAGGACAACATCTCCATCTTTGATCTTTCAAGAAATGATCCACAAATTCGAGCTAAATCATCTGCTTCTCCTCATCCTTTTCAGCCAACACAAGCGACAACTGTAGGTGCAGGACCAAGTGGACCATTGCATCCCGATACTCCCATGCGGATAGGAGCACATACTGTTCGGAATAGCATATTATGTGCTGAAGTATCACCGTTGCACAATCATCTCTTTCTCGGTTTACGCGATGGAACAATAGACGCATACGATCTAGAGAGACTGTCGCCAAGTCCATATCGTGTGCCAAACTTATGGTGGGAGGAAGAAGAGATCCTACGAAAATCAGGAGTGCCAGATGCACCCAATAGAAGACATGTTCCATTAATAATCGACATCAAAACGCATCCAAAAGATATCAATCAGCTATTGCTTGCATACGAAGGGGGCGTTGTACTGCTAGACGTGACAAAAAGAACCATTGTGCGATCTTTCCAGCTACGGCATCTGCCTGGTGCTCCCGGTTCATGTGTAGGGAATCCAGATCTGGTATGGACTGAAAGAGCTGCTCCTGCTACTTGCGTTGCCTGGAGACCAGATGGACTTGTATTCGCATGTGGTCACGAGGATGGTTGCATTTCATTTTGGCATATAGAGGATGATGAAAAGCCCATCACTGTTCGTACGATTGAGCGGACAGAGGTGGACAGAGCGGAAACGCTGATGAACGAACCACCAGGAGGACTTCCCCAAAGTCGCGAGCCGATCTTCAAGTTGGCTTGGTCTGGCTTTCCCGCACAATCATGGTTTGATATGGCACAGAACGCAAAGGGTAAACCGAATGATACCTCAGCACAGCAGCACCAACAAACGGATCAGCCAAAAGAAGAACCAGCGACTGGCACAATCCTTACCATTCTCGGTGGTGCAACAGAGCGTCAGCCTCAAGGCTTGATCTGTTTACACTTCCCCGCCTTTTCGTGGCCGTATGCAAGTTACTGGAACTCCAAAACGCCAGAAACTCTAGCAAAGACACGACAAGCACTACATGCCTCGCTAGAGGAAACGAAAGGTTCACGTTACTCAACACCGTCGCCCGTAGAAGATTTCATCCTTTTACCACGAGATAATCCTTATTATGGTGGAGCATACGATCCGCTTGCCGTGATCACCTTACTAGCAGCAGATCCAAAGCTTCCGCCTCTTCCTCCACCAGCAGCGGCAAGAGGCTTAAAAGCATTCGCATTTCCTCCTCCTGCAGAGAGTCTTGAAGCACCGTCGGTGCCAATGTCGCCCGGAAAGAAAGGCAATCTCGGCATACAGCTACCGTTTGCTCAAAGGTCTCTACAATTACCTTTAGCCCTCTCGACCGCAGGGCCAGGTGCGATCTTGGGAGCGCAAATGGTAGATGTCACTCCGCACGTATATCGCAACCTGACGGCTCAAGCAGATGCAAACAGAGAAAAGGCAAATCCTACCTCTCCAAAACCAGAAGGAGGATTTGCATCGGTCATCTCTTCCATTCCGCTAAGTGCACCTCGAAAAGCGACAAGCAATCTACCACTCTTTGGAGGAAAAGCCAAGCCAACTGCAAGTGGAATGAAAGCAGACACCGCAGAAGCATTTGCTGCTTTGGCCAGAGCAGAGCGTTGGAGAATATTGGTGACATGGCATTTGGACGGTACGGTACGCTTCCATGATGCAAGTCCACAATTGCTACTGCAAGGTACAGATCAAACACCCTTGGCACATAGCAGTGAAGCGGCGAAAGCAACAACGCCGGGCTATTTGCAAAAGTCATTCCCATCACCTCTTCCACATCTTACAATCGATACGCACAAGCTAATTTACAGTTCAGGTATGATCGGTCATCCATTATTTGAGAAGCTGAAATCGGATCCTATGCGTTTGAGGATTGTCAAAGTGGTGTACGCAGCCGAGGCCAACGAGACTGCCATCGTCTTACGTTCTGGTCAAGTACTGCATTTCAAGTTTGGATTTGCAAAATATTCGCAAACGGATGAAGTAATTGATGCCGTGCAAGAAGAAGTACAACAAGATGAAGAGATGGCCGCTTCTCTTGCTCATCATAATAGTCCTTCGCCTTCTAGTCCAGGTGCCAGTCGTGCTTCAATGAACGAATTGGACTCCAGTATGGCAGGTGCAATGCAAGATTTAGATATTCATCTAGGTCCTTCTCAAGCATCACCGCATGGATCTGCACCGCCCAGACCCAGGCGAGACCCAAAGAGAATGAGTATGCTAGGTAGATCGGGCGGTGGCTCAGACTTCCGTAGCAGCGAAGACAGCAATGCTTATCAGAATCCCGCGGCCAACTTCCATCCAGCACCTGTTCGGATAGATGAGATTACCTTTGTCAACCATTTGGCAACGTGGCGTTCAGATGGATTCAAGCCAAACATTATTGTTGAATTGAGCAGAGGTGAAGTAACAGCGATCGACCTTAGCAATATAGGATTCTTGGCGATCGCTTACGGTATTTCATTAGCCGTGATCGATTTGCGGATTCCTCAATTGATCGTTCGAGAAGGCTTTGGTATGCCGGCACAAGGAGACGTATCACGAGAAGAACGCAAGATGATCGAAGAAGAAAATAAGAGTACAATTAATCATCTATTGTTCAGCATTTGTCGTACCGCCGCCAATCCGATCCTTTCGCCCACTTTGATCGCCAGCCGTGAGAGTGGTTATACTACTCTATGGACGCTGGGTGTTGATCAATTGGATATGTGGATGTGTACACGATCAAATGGTTCTCAGTTGGATGAGCTTCAAAGGGGTGTTGCTGTTCAAGTGATCGATATGGGAGGAAATGTTTGTCAAACGATTCCGGGTGAATTGCAACGTAGCTTACGTGAACAATCCAGAGGAGGCGATATGAGTGCGGAAAAAGTGACGGATATGAATTTGATGCTGTGCATTGGTCGAAACACGTTAAGCTTACGTGCTGGTCTCACAGGTCAAAAAGTTGCAAAGGTGGATGTCGGAGAAGTTATCCAAGGAGCATCAGTGATCGATAGAAGAGGCGATAAAGTTTGCCTGGCAGTCACTTCTAAATCCTTCCATCTTTTCACTCTTCCACATTTACGTTCTATCACACGTATACAAAGGCACAATCGTGCTTATGAGGAGAAGTTGTCGATTGCCAATGTGAGTCTCTCTTTGGACGGAAGTGGAGATATGATCGAGATTGTGAATAGCTTGGACGTTTGCATGTGGACCGTATTTGCTACGCAGCCTAGACCTGGCTTGCCCAGTTTGCTGTTGTATACACCACCTTCGATGCCTATTGCGCCCAACGTGATTGGAAGTATGGCTAGTAGTGTGGTGAATTGGATTGGTGGAAAGAGTGCATCACTTACGCAGGGAGCTCAATTGGACGATATTTTGGCAGGTGGACCTGGAAAACGAGGATCTATGCCTAAATTACCCGAACAAAAGTACATTTATGAGAAAGTAGAGGAGCAGGAAAGAAGAGAGGCATTACAAGAAGAAATGCAAAGAAGATCAGAATTGAATAACAGCGGTCGTAGTTCACCCTATGTACGACAGCCAACCAAATCTGCTCAAACATCACGTCAAGCCAATGCGGCTGCCGATCAAGCAGCTTGGTCGTTAGATTTAGCCAAACAAAGGGGAGAATTGGTCAATTCATTAGAACAAGGGTTGAGTAATTTGGAAAGAGGAGCGTCAGATTGGATGAAGAGTACACGTGAGAATATGATCAAACAGGCAGCAAAAGAAAAGATGAACAAGTACTTTTAATGAGTGTACTCAATAGAAAAGTGTGGAGAATGCACAACCCTAATTTAATACACAGCCTCGCGCACGCTAAAAGGTGTTATTAACCCGATCCTATCTTACGCTAGTAGAGTTTGCAATCCTATTTTGAGCGTGTTTAGAGAATTCGGATGCATTCATATGTGTACCGAAGATCATCATCACATGCTAATCATGTACATACAATCGGAAACGGAGTGGGAATGCCGTTGAAGTAAGCTAATGAAGTACACGTTGATCCTTTTGCTTGGCAAATGTTGAATGCAATATGCACATCAATGGGTAAGAAGTGTTTGTTATTCAATCTTATTCCGCGGGCTTTTCCCAAATGTTGCTTTTGCGTTCCTGTCCGTCCGGCTCCTTTTTTACCTGGGCCGCCAATTCTGATGAAATCATACGCGGTCATGCTCATTCGGCCCAAAATGGCACTTGAGCTGTGTTCATGCAGTGTGAACATTTAATACATATGCACGATTATGCACGCGTGCATATGTATTCATTTTAAATTTTGTATTACCATCTCATTGCCATCAATTTTCATAGTCACTCATGTAAAAATATAAGATAATAAATGAAATTTTAAACTATAAAAAATTATCTAGGGGGAGGGGTTCGTGGTGGTAGTATGCGATTGAGCCTTCTAATGTAGTCATTAAGCGGAGCATCACCTCTTTGAATAGGGTTAGTCGTAACCTACACTTCTATTGATTCAACGACCTTATAAACGATATATAAAGCTACTATTTCTTCTTATACTAAGCGAGGAGTAGTAGCTCGCCTAATAGTAGTAGGAGGCTTTAGATATTCTCTTTAACTAATAGTAATATCGAAGATTAGATAATCTTAAAACCTTCTTAAATTTTAAATATTTAACCTATAAACTAGTATTAAAATCTTCTAATTTATATATAAAATATATTAAATCTTATTATACTTATTTAAATCTTTATATTAGTACTCGAAAATATATAATAAAATATTAGTATTTTTATATTATCTATATCTTATATTATTATATAAGATCGCTTCTATATAACTAGTTTAATTTTACTATATATAGTTATTTATATCTTATAGTAGAGTCTATCTTATATTATTAAGAATTATAATAATTTCTATTATATTATCTTATTATAAGCTCTATTAAAATCTTATAAATCTTATATTAATAAGATTTATATTATCTCTTAATAATATAAATAAATTTATATCGTCGACTCTATTTATATTATTTTAATTTAGTTTAAAAGAGAAAGAGTTAAAAAAGGTAAGATAAAAAGAGATAAGGTTAGAGAGAAAAAAATTAAACTAAAGAAAGAGATAAAGTCTTATTTATTTTTTTTAATTTAAATCTATAAGATCTAATCTTTAATTCTATAATAAATAATAAAAAGTTATTATAAAAAATTTTATAAGATTATAATAAAATTAAGAAAAAAAAGATAATTTATATATTTTTTATCTAACTAAAAAAGTTATTTTTATTTTTTAAATATTTTTTTTTTATTTAATATAAAGGTTTATTCTTAATATATTAAAAGAATAATATATATCTTTTATAATATATATAAATATAATATTCTTAAAATAGTTTATTAATTAATTCTATTTTCTATTTAAAAATATAATTTAATAAAAGAAATTATCTATTTTTCTTTTTAAATTAATATCGATAATTATTTTTAATAGTTATTTCTTTAAGTTTTATAAATTATTTTAATTATTTATATATTAATTATTTTTAGAAATAACTTATTATAGATCGAAATTTTAAAAATAACTTATCGAAATTAATTAATTTACTATATTAAAAATAGATAATAACTATTATATTAGATTAAATTATATTAATTAATATAATTTATTATAATTCGATATAATTAATAAATAAATTATAATAATTTCTATATATTTATTAAAGCTATCTTAATATATATATATAGATTTATTAATAGATAAAATAAAAAAATAATAATAATAATAAGATATTAGATTATATATATATTATATAATAGTATATATCTATATTATACTAATATATCTAATATATTAAAATATATAATATATATATAAAATATATTAATATAAGTTTAATCTTTATAATTTAGTATATATCAGTTATTATCTTTTATAATTAATTTATATATATAAATATTAAATAAATATATAAATAAATAATTTATATATTTTATATTTTATAATAAATATATAGTTTTTAAGATAATAATCTTATTAATTATTATTATCTATATTATCTTACTTTTATTATAACTATATCATTTATATCTTTCTCTATACTACTATAATATAACTAAAATATAAATATTTAATAATAGAAATAGTTAAATAACCTTATCTTATAAAATACTTAAATAAATATTAAAATCAGTATAATATACTAGAATATTATATTAAATTATAATAATATAAATAATAAATAAGATAATTTAAAGGATATAATAGTATATTATAATAAATCATTATTTTTAGATTAAAATCTAAAAAAAAAAGATAAAAGATAATATATACTTAATCTTTCTAAAGAATATCGATATTCTTTTTACTATTTTTATAAATATAATATATATAAAATTATTATTAATAGTTATTTAATTAAATACTCGATATATATTTTATATAAGATAGATATTAATAATTATAATTTAAATCTAGACTATCTTAAAATACTATTATTATTAAATCTTTATATATTATAAGAAAAAAAATATCGAGTTAAACTAAGATTAAATAAAATTATAAAGATATTAAATAAAAGATTAATAAAGTTAATAATAATTATTAAATAACTAAATAATATTATATATTCTTATAAAAGTAAATTAAATCTAGATATAGATATAACTTATAGATTTAAATAAATTATAGAGTCTCTAAAATAATATTTACTATAGTATTATAGTAATTTATAATATATTATATAATATTATATTATTTTATAATATATTATATATATTATCTCTATCTCTCTATAATACTCTTTAATTATATTATTTTATATTATATTTTATTATTACTATTTTTTTATAACTCTTATTAATTATATTATTTCTTATTATATTATAATATATTATTTCGATCTCTATATAACTCTATATAATTTATTATAACTCTATTTAATTTATATATAAATATTTTATTTATTTAAATATATAATTATAATCTATTAATATTCTAACTATTTATTATAAATACTTTTAAGTTTAATAAGTTAATTTTAAAATAATAATCTTAAGATAATATCTAAACTTTATTATTTTATAATTTTCTATTAAATATAATCTATTAAATCTTAAAGATCTAAATATATCTATTATTATTCTTTTTTATAATTATTATCTAAGATTTATAAAATATTAAATAATAAATTAAATAAATTATCTTTAAAAATAATAAAATTAATTTTAAATATTAGTATATTAGATTAATTTATATTACTTTTAAATAATTTAAAATTATAAAAATTAATAATCTTTATATTTTAAGATAAATTATTTAATATAATAAAGTCTTAACTATTTTATAAAATAACTAATTAAACTATAATTATTTTTAATTCTATTTAATATCTTAAACCTCTTTTTAGAAAGAATAGATATTTATAAAAGGTTTTATACTATTTAAATACTTTATATTTATAGTTTTAATAATATAAAATATATCGATAAAGATCTAACTATACTATTATAGAGTATTATACCTCTTTATCTTTAAATAATTAAACTTAATAACTACTATTAGATAATTATATAAATATAATTTTAATATCTTTAAAATCGATTTTTTTAACTATCTCTTTTATCTTTATTTCTTTTAATCGATATATATAATAAATTATATTTAATTTTATTTATAATTTATTTTAATAATAATTATAAATTACTCTTTTAATTAATATAAAATATAAATAATTAATATATTTTAGATTTAAATCTATCTTATATATTTTCTTAAAGATAAGATATTATCTTTCTATAAGATTATTTATATCGATTTATTTTAAAATAAATTTATTATATCTATATTATCTCTAGTATTTAGATAGAAAACCTTATATTCTTATAAGATAGTTTATCTAATCTTTTTAATTATATTTATCTATAAGATAAAGATAATTAACCTATTTTTATTATAATTTATTATAACTTAATTTATTATAAAGAAGATTTTTAAATAAATTAAAATAAAATATAAAATATAATTTCTATTTTTCTTTTATTATTCTATTTAAATATTATATTTTCTTTATAAGTTATTTCTTTACTACCTTTAAAATATAGAAGTAATATTATAAGATTTTAATATTATTATCTTAAATAGTTTTAATTACTAAAGTTTTAATCGATAAGTAATCGATTATAAATACTTTTAACTTAAATTATATATTATTATAGAGCTTTTTTAATTATTAAATAATAGACTAACTAGTCTTAATATTTATAATTAAGAATCCTACTAGTAAATCTTTTTAAATTATTATATTATATATAATAATACTATAAAGATAAACTTTTTTATTATAACTTATCTTAAAAATAATATAATATATTAAATCTAAATAAATAATCTTTATATCTTAAAGTTTTTCTATCTACTACTTTATAGAGAAATATACTATCTATATATAATTAAAGTTAAAATTAATTATATTATTATTAGATAGTTAAAAGTCAGTAAAACCTTATCTACTAAAACTATCTATTATCTTCTTTATTTACGATTCTATATTTTTTTATAGGTTTCAGTCTTTTTAAGATTATTTATCGATAATATTATTAAAAATATAATAAATCGTTTTATTAGAGATAAATAAAACTTATAATAAAATATAATTTATAAAGAGATCTTTATAAATCTATTTAATATTAAAGAGTTATAATAAGTCTTTAAGATATTTTAATTTCTTTCTATTTATCGTTTATTCTTAAATCTAAACTCTTATCTTATTAGATAATAAGCTTTTTCGATTAAACTATATTATATTATCTAAATAATTATTATAATCTTTCTTAAGAAAATATTTAATATATTTATAACTTATATTATATCGAATCTTAATAATTAATCTATAAAGATAATTACTTTAATCGATTCTTATTTTTAAATATTATTTATCTAGTAAAATATTCTAATATCTTATTTATTCTTTTATTAACTCGGTATAAAGACTATAACGATATTATATATATAATATCGATTTATACTTATAACTTAAATTATATTATTTTATACTATATTTTATAAAATCTTTTTATTACTCTTAAAAATTTATATATTCTTTTTTATCTAAGATAAATAACTTTTCTTTATAGAATAGAGACTTTATCTTAATTAGATTAATTAATAAATAATATTTTATTAATATATCTATTATTATTTAGATAGTTATATAGTAGTAGTAATAAAGATAATAATAATAGAAAAGATAAGAAATATCTTTAAATATATATATTTCTTAAGATTAATATAATCTGATTCAAGAATATATATATTTTAAATCGGTATATATACTTAAGATCTTCGATAGGCTCTACTAGAGTCTATACGATTTAGATAGAATCCTCTCATATCGTCTATCTTAAAACCCTAAGTAATATTATATATCTTTAATCGTTATTTTTATATACTTAAACAATATTATATAGAACCCTAACCCTTTAAAGTACTTAATATAATAATATTTCACTGATATAATTATATTTTTACTAACCCTAACCTAAAACCTTATATAACCATGATTGACTCTATCAGAATCGGATCGGGTCT